TGCACAAAAATGGCTGTTGGAAGGTGCTAAGCAAAAGCGAACAATATTTTTTCCCAAAACCTTCATCAAGGTATATTTTTTTACAATTTACTGTTTTAGAAGTAACCGCGTCCAGCTGTCGTATCTTACCTTATTGGGCGATGATTTGACGGTTACTGAAGTTTTCGACCCTTGCGATAACGATGGTATCATTATTTTTCCGATTTTCCTACTGTAACATACCGTAATACTGTATCGACCGCTAAAAAACGACCGTAGAATCTTTCTTTCTGAAAATTTCACAGGCGATTTTACGATTTTTGGAATCAGCATAAAATTCTGCTCTAGAGGCAATCAAAAAAAGTTCAAAAAAAGCTGCGACAAATTTCGTGGTATAGTGGTTAGTGGTCGGGACTACCAATCCAGCGACCCGGGTTCGAGTCCGGCTGGGTGCGAATATCGAAAAGAAGTCGGAAATTAAATTTATTGTGATTCAGAGGATTGTATATTTTGCCACGAGCAATTATTAATGTCAATGGTAGCTGGATTCGAGCTTAAAACGGGATTTATATAATTTTAGGGGCTCAATACATAAAAAAATAAAAGTGCTTCAAACCGGTTGAAATTGATAATACTTATTCTAAGGGCTATTCGAAGACACTTTCTCGTTAACTTTTTTTGGTAGCTTACTGTTCCATGCACTACAGTAAGATAAAGATTTTGTACTTAAGCGGGATTTTCTTCAAAATTGTTGCATCCAGTCTCGAGTTTTTTTGACTAGGTCGTTCAAACAGCAACGAAGGTCCACTATAGGTATACAAAATAAATTTCCGCTTCACTTCCAGTGTGTCTTGATATCATCGCTATCTGACAAAACTTCGTGAAATAACCCGGTTGTTTCAAACTGTGCGGCCATAAAAAAAATTTTGTGTGCAAACCAACTCGTTATTAACCATCTCTATCAATATGGCGATAGTCCGAGCTGTCTACGCTCCGTGGTATGCGAAAAATAAAATTGGATTTCATGTCACAGTAATCCATGTTACAGTAAGTTACGAAAAAAGTTAACGAGAAAGTGTCTTAGAATAGCCCTTAGAATAAGTATTATCAATTTCAACCGGTTTGAAGCACTTTTATTTTTTCATGTATTGAGCCCCTAAAATTATATAAATCCCGTTTTAACCTCGAATACAGCTACCATTGACATTAATAATTGCTCATGGCAAAATATACAATCCTCTGAATCACAATAAATTTAATTTCCGACTTCTTTTCGATATTCGTACCCAGCCGGACTCGAACCCGGGTCGCTGGATTGGTAGTCCCGACCACTAACCACTATACCACGAAATTTGTCGCAGCTTTTTTTGAACTTTTTTAATTGCCTCTAGAGCAGAATTTTATGCTGATTCCAAAAATCGTAAAATCGCCTGTGAAATTTTCAGAAAGAAAGATTCTACGGTCGTTTTTTAGCGGTCGATGCAGTATTACGGTATGTTACAGTAGGGAAATCGGAAAAATAATGATACCATCGTCATCGCAAGGGTCGAAAACTTCAGTAACCGTCAAATCATCGCCCAATAAGGTAAGATACGACAGCTGGACGCGGTTACTTCTAAAACAGTAAATTGTAAAAAAATATACCTTGATGAAGGTTTTGGGAAAAAATATTGTTCGCTTTTGCTTAGCACCTTCCAACAGCCATTTTAGTGCAAAAAACTCAAAATCGATTTTTTTCTATGTCCACGGCTGACGCACTGACTCAGAAATCGTCTTTTAAATTACAAAAATTCATTGGGCCTACGTTGAGTCCAACCTTTCAAACCGGGATTAATTGGCAGTCGCCTTGCCGACAAGTTGGTTTTATTTAGCATAATAAATGACACAATATTTTTGTTATTTTTATGCGTATCTTTCTTACTTCCGCATGCCGGATCTTTAAGACTACACGGCTGGTACCAATAGCGGATTAAATGAATATCTAATAATATTTTTGCTTACTTCATCTTACTTGTTCGCAAACAATTAGTAAGAATGTAGAGCGCTGTATACATGTATATTTTTTTTACATCCGGACTTTAGCTTATTCATATATTCCACCCAAAGGGAGACGTGTAATACGAGAGTGCTTAAAGATGACTTTGGTTTTTTGCCATTTACTTAAACACAGGGTACATAATACTAGTCTAGACCATCTTTGACGCAGTTCTTTTAAAATGTGTTCTTTGTCATAGCCAGAACAGTTAAACTTTCTGGATTTTTTAATGTAGTCGTATTTAAGGTTTTTGCTACAGAAACGTGTATAAAACCGCTTGCTGGAATTTCTAAGGTCAAACAGTAAAATATAAGTCTGAAAGACAAAAAATAAACTTACATTGACATTTTCGATCTTGTGCCCAGGAAATTGCCCATCTCATTGAACATCTAAAGCAGTGTTTCTGAGCCAATCGGCCATTTAAAATTCGCAGGCAGTCCAAAAATCGTGAGCACGTCTATGCCTTGATGGTCTCGCCACGAAATTGCCTGATTACGCCGATAAAATTTCGGTCCAAAAAATACCTTTTCTGGTCCTTTAAAACGCGTTTTACTACAAATCGTAGATTGGCCCGGACATTGTTGAGTCGATGTCTCAGAATTAAACCAAAATTGGTCAACTTGATCGCCATGACAGGAAAAACATTCGCTTTCCTTATTTTTGCCCAAAAATACCGTATGACGGCATACTGTAACATTATTTTTTTTAAAAGATACGCTCTAATCGAGAAAACTAAGCGCTATTTTAGCACAAATCGAATTCAGGTGTATGTTTTCGACCACGTAGAAAATTTTTGTAATTGTCACCAAAAACCAAAAATTACATCTAAGCTATGTTACACATGAGGTGACATACTATTTCGGGTGTAAAATGGGCTACTGTAGGTTGTAGCACTTTTAGATACGCGTAAAAAAAACCTCAACCATAACCCAATAAACACTAGAAATTTTAAAAAAATAAAATGCACAACTTTTGAGATACAGGGCACTCAATCTGCCATGTACAAGGTCATCAAAACCCCGAAAAAAGCTGGCATTCTTGGGATTTGAGGTTGTAGCACTTTTTGATTGTCTCTAATACGCTATTAGCCTTGTAAACGATGACAGTGAAAATTTCAGGCGAAACAATGCACAACTTTTGAGAAAAGTACCAAATTACCTTGTTTTAGGTCATCAGAACCCCGAAAAAAGCTGGCATTCTTGGGATTTCAGGTTGTAGCACTTTTTGATTGTCTCTAATACATTATTAGCCTTGCAAACGATGATAGTGAAAATTTCAGGCGAAAAAAACGCACAACTTTTGTGAAAAGTACCAAAAGACCTTATTTTAGGTCATCAGAACGCCGAAAAAAGCTGGCATTCTTGGGATTTCAGGTTGTAGCACTTTTTGATAGCCTCTAATACATTATTAGCCTTGCAAACGATGATAGTGAAAATTTCAGGCGAAAAAAACGCACAACTTTTGTGAAAAGTACCAAAAGACCTTATTTTAGGTCATCAGAACGCCGAAAAAATGGCGTTTTTGCGTTTTTCCTCTAAAACTTGCTATATCCTTGTAAAAAGTGATAAAAATGCATTATAAACATCGAAAATCTGCGTCAGGCCAAAACCCCAAGAATATCAGGTGTTTCCGCGTTGTGGTGACATAAAGTAAGGTGTTTTGGTCGCTTTATTAAAAACTTGTATGTTTTTTTATCTCAATCTCATCCTATCGTCCTAAAAAGAGACAAAAGTGTGTCAGAAGCTTTCAAAATCTGCGCCAAGCCAAAATCCCAAGAATGCCAGCTTTTTTCGGGGTTCTGATGACCTAAAATAAGGTCTTTTGGTACTTTTCTAAAAAGTTGTGCATTTTTTTCGCCTGAAATTTTCACTGTCATCGTTTACAAGGCTAATAACGTATTGGAGGCAATCAAAAAGTGCTACAACCTAAAATCCCAAGAATGCCAGCTTTTTTCGGGGTTCTGATGACCTAAAATAAGGTCTTTTGGTACTTTTCTCAAAAGTTGTGCATTTTTTTCGCCTGAAATTTTCACTGTCATCGTTTACAAGGCTAATAACGTATTAGAGACAATCAAAAAGTGCTACAACCTCAAATCCCAAGAATGCCAGCTTTTTTCGGGGTTTTGATGACCTTGTACATGGCAGATTGAGTGCCCTGTATCTCAAAAGTTGTGCATTTTATTTTTTTAAAATTTCTAGTGTTTATTGGGTTATGGTTGAGGTTTTTTTTACGCGTATCTAAAAGTGCTACAACCTACAGTAGCCCATTTTACACCCGAAATAGTATGTCACCTCATGTGTAACATAGCTTAGATGTAATTTTTGGTTTTTGGTGACAATTACAAAAATGTTCTACGTGGTCGAAAACATACATCTGAATTCGATTTGTGCTAAAATAGCGCTTAGTTTTCTCGATTAGAGCGTATCTTTTTTAAAAAATAATGTTACAGTATGCGAAAGCGAATGTTTTGTCTCTCATGACGGTCAAGTTGACCAATTTTGGTTTAATTCTGCGACATCGATTTTAACAATGTCCGCCCTCTGTTAGGCTAACATAAGCTTCAAATTGTAGCAAAACGCGTTTTAAATGGTCAGAACAAGTGATTTTAATCATCCTTTTTACGACTTGGTAGACACTCACAATAACTAACCCCCACTACATCATTTTGTCCACTTGATTGCATTAAAAATTTTCACGAATTATTTCATCACGATACTTTACACTTCTAGTTTCAGCCTCACCTCAATAGTACATTTTAACACTTGTCTCCGACCTTTCCAAAGATCCCCTGCTGAGTGCAACTCCAATATTATAGTTCAGTATTACTACAACCGCCTTCTTTCGTGGCAAACCTACAAACCATTGGCTGTTTTCCCGACCAAAGTTTGTCACGAAGGTCGCTAATTATAATATTATTTTTCGAATTTTATGTGGTTACAGATGGATGGAAACAATGCAAAATGAGAGCGCGGATTATTGGTTGAATATGGCTGGAGATGGCTTTGTGATCGGCGAAGGGATCTGCAGTTTTCTGCAGGTTGTGCTGAATGTTTTGTATTTGCGGAAGTTCTGGAAACTCGAGACATTTCATGCCAATTTTCGGCAGACTTTTGTAAGTTTTTTTGGAGTTTTGTGGCTATAAAAGTTGAGGAGTTTTTACTCCTAAAAAATTTACATTTACGCTTTGAAGGCACATTTGAAAACAAATCTCTTTAGTAAAATTCTAAGCTGTAGATTTTTCAAGGTTGTTTATGGGAGTTGAAAAAGTGCATTCAAAAGAGGTCTTAATTATCCAAATTGAAGGTTTGAACTGCTTTAAAATTGACAGATGAAAGCGTTGACATCGCAAATTTGCATGGCAAAGTCACCCAGTATCAAAGTAAAAAGAAAAAAAAACGATCGTTATAAAAAATTTTGATAATAGAAAGTCTATTTCTTACAGTGAGGGAACCCTTCAAAAACCCCGCTTTGAAGAGCCCGCCTTGAAGGAAAGGGCGCGCTTTTCAAAGCGGAGTTTTTTAGCTTACAGAGGAAGTACCCCAAGTGCGACGCTCAGATTTTCTTTAAATTTTGCGGACACGTCGGGTATAGACTAGGTGTCAATTCCTGAAAGTTTTAGCTCGCGCTTTGCAGGCGCAGCCGGGATATCGAACGATCTTTGTCACGGAGAGAGTACGCTTAACGCGGAGAGCGGTCAGAGAGAAAAACGTTTTTTGGCCATGACGTTGCCAGTTTCACGCGGAAAAAGTTAATTTTTTGTAGGAACATTACCCTTTACGGTAGAAATAGGTATGAAAGTTTTCGTGCCAAAATTCGGCAAAAAGTCTCACATTTTCGCCGACTTTCGATCTAAAAATTTCGGTTGTTTCTGCAAAGCGCGAGCTAGGATTCTCGCATATGTCTTAGAAAAAATTATTCTCAATTTGTGCCAAGTTCATCAAAATCTGAGCGTCGCACTTGGGGTACTTCCTTTGTTAGAGAAGGGAAGGGTTTGGAGACATTTTGGTCCCTTCCGGGATGCAAAATGAGAGGTTTTTTTGCCGGATCAGGTCCCTCACTGTATTCGTTTCAGATTGGCCTGAATGTAATCCTGAGTATGTCCTCACTCTTCCACCCCACTTCTGAGATTCTGGAGCACATAATCTACTATCGTCTGTTCCCCGGCTTTGACCGGCCTCTGAACACCATGAAATTGTTTTGTTTATTCGTCGACCATATCGCCGTCGTTTTCCTTCATCTCAAGTTTTTCATCTTGGCTTTCGAACGACATCACGCCATAAAAATGCGTGGGAGATACGAAAACGAAAAAGGAAATATGGCTATAAAGGTGCTGGGAGTTTTGGTAAGTAAATAGTTTAATTTTAAAATTTTTTTGATCTATATTTGTAAAAATTTTAACACGACTCTTTTATAATGACATTGCAGGTTGTAGTGGTGTCCATAGAAATCGCAATTAAGACCTGGCTGTTTTGTAAATACGATACTGAAGTGCCTTATGACGTTCGTCTGGAAAAAGGGATGGGAGTTACGAAGTCTCCAGCTTTTTTGTCGTTCTCTTACATCTTGTTTTCAATATCCATTATTGTTGGATTTGTTGTAAGTTTAACGCGAAAAAGGTCATCTAAATTGTCATAAATCTTGCATATACCATATAAGGAAGAAAGCCATTTCGGCGAGGAGCTTTTGCTGTTTATTGGAGATAAATTTTCATATACAATTTTTACCGGTCAAAGCTCAAGCAGTTTGCAAATGCTTTTTAAAGTTTTATCAATTTTTGAAAAAAAACTTCAAATATTTTTCGAACAGGACATTTTTTGAAAGATATTTTTCAATCTGGTGCGCCAACTGGATTATTGTTTAATTTTGCTCTTTTTCTAATGCAATTGCAGGAGGACAAATAAAAAATGCAACTTTTTATGGGTCCTACCGCGAAAATATTTAAGTGTAGCAAAACAATTTTTTACCATTAAATTCTCCGTGTTTTTGTGTCCCAGTCTTTTGATTTCCATGCCATATTGATTTGACAGTTGTGTCTTTCAGCTAATCCGTCAAACGAAAGGTTACATCCGCAAGCTCCGTCTGAAGAGCCAAAGTTTGGCTGAGAGCTTCGAACTCAGCCAGACCAACAAGATCGCGGAGGTCATCTGGCCAATGTTGCTATCCTACATTGCCTGTGGAATAGCGTGTGGTCCCACCGCGATACTCTGCTTTCACTTGGCACTATTCAAGAGTTCTGAGAGCTGGGAAAAGGCGTATGTTGTTGGGGCGAAAGTAAGAACTTTCGTTGTTTTTACAAGACCAATTTAAAAATTGGTCTGTTTTACATTTCATTAAGGCAGTTCGGACAATCGGGGACCGGTAAAGTTAGTACGGTGTCGGTACACTTTTTAGTACCCATGTGTAAACGTAGTATTGCTTTTTACTACGCCGAGTTTTCGACAATCCATTGCACGTCAATTAAACGTAGTTGAAGCTGTGTAGGCAAGGTGGAAAGTGCAATATAAGGTCATAAAACATAACTTAGAATTAAAGGGTCATTAATTAAATGTAGTATACGTATAGTATATTATAATACTACATTTAAAACGTTCTTTCACAATGCACGTCAACAATTCATTAACTTGATACCCCGATTGTCCGTGTGCCACATAACTATTAATTATTATAAAATCACAATGTTTTTTTTCAGGCCAACTATTTCTTCCTGTCCTGTTACACACTATTTTCTTTGTTCTTCGCTTTTTATAAATTTGGAATGATCCGCAAACTTCGGGTGACCCCGATGCCAGTGATTCGACCAACGGACGAACAGAAGACCCATTTCGATTTTCTGGGAGAGTCCTGGAAGTTGTGAAGTGATAGTAATAATAAACGTGCCATTCATTAAATTAAAAATGTACCGTCTTAATAAAACAATGACGAAAAAAACAGTAACAAGCAATGTGCTAAATATGGGACTCTTGTGTTCAAATTCCCTACTCATGTTGTGTACATGAACAGTCGTATTGTGACGGATTGACTGTTGATTAGTCGTCCTTGTGGACGTGCATACTTCGAAAACTTCGATCGTTGCTTCAAACGCAAACAATAAATCCGTCGGGAAGTTCCTTATTACTCTCATGGTTTAACTCAATTAACATTTTGGTGGTTTAATGAACCTTAGAAGAACTTATGGCTAGAAATTCGGCAGACACTGCCATAAGCTTATAGCAGAATTTTCTTTCCAACGAAACATAAAGCGTGGATTCTAAACGCCGCAACTTATTACACATACATCGTGATTGGTTTAAAAAAAATTTTTTTTAATGTATTTGCAAAGTCGTTGTAGAAATACTGCATTTTCGAATGATGTAATTTTTTCGGATTCTTGTATTATCGATGGGCTTTGATAGCAAAAAACCGTTACAAAATTATACCCAAGTTGTGTGGCCGCACGGTTATGCTAACAATAGTATTCCTAACGTTTCATGCGTTCACTGCGCATGAGACGCTTTCAGCTTTCGTGAAACTTTGGAAGGCTGAAGGTGATTTTTATGTTGCCTTGAAGCACGTTACAGATGCTACTGTCTTACATATATTTTAATAGAATTTCTTTTGTTAAACTGTCGTGCACTATAGATTTTTTCTGCTACCTTTCCATCCCTCTTGTTGTCTTCTTGTCCTTTTATAAAAAGTGCAATGTAACAAACATACAAACCAGCTGTCCAATAAATTTATTCGATCTTGAATATGTGCTAAATAAGTACTCATTAAGTTTATCGACTCTGGCATTTTTGAATTTCTGACGTATCTGTAAAATTGCACCCCCAATAAACATGTTAGCCAAATTTCTTACGCATAGCGTTGCGTTTTGCAGACTTTTATACCATTTGGCTCTTAATTGCATGTAAATTGTCATACCGCCCACCGGCCAACTTGAAAAGTTTGAATTCTCTCGAAGACAAGACATTTAAAGGGCCTTATAATTTTCCCTGTAATTTTCAGCGCTCTCCCTATCTGATTATTAGTAAATTTCAATATTGTGCTTTATTGTTGTACATTTATTACATTGTGTATAAACAATTTCATACTATGTAATGCCGTGGAAGAATGATCAGCGATTTTGATGGAGTTATTGATCTGTCTGGAAACATGTTCATGCTCGGGGAATTTATTTGTTTTTGCACTCAAATTGTACTCAATATACGGTACTTAAAGTCGCTGTGGAATATGGAAACATATCATGCCAACTTTAGACGGACTTTTGTAAGTTTTTCTTAGGGTTACAGAGAGGGTTGTGCGGTCAAATTTTGATGACACTAACAGTGATTTTTAGCTTTAAAGTTGGTGATTTTTTTGCGTATTATGGAAAAGTTGCAGCATATATGTATGTATATCACACAAGATTTAGGAGAGTCAGAAAGTCTGAAAATGTCTTGCAAGTCATAGAATATTATTTGTAAATTTGAGCCGACTCTGAGCCGATTCCCATCCAATTCTGTGCCTTGCTGCCTTACACTCCGAGCTCCCTCATTTTCACCCACATTTCTTGTTTTTATTACAGATCGGCCTAAACTTTATCATCAGCAGCTCTTCATTTTTTCATCTTTCATTTGAAAGTCTGGACATTATTATTCAAAACGAATGGTTTCCAAACTACAATGATTTCCTTACAATTACAAAGTATTCTTTTTGTTTTTTGGACCATGTCGTTGTCCTCGCTCTGCACTACAAGTTCCTGGTTTTGAGCAGTGAGCGTGTGATTGCAATGATGCGGAGGAGAACTTATGAATTTGAAAGGTCCAATTTGGCCCCGAAAATAATCGGGACTGTGGTATGTTGTGCAACGTACGATATACGATGTAAAAATGCATTTTTTTAGCTTCTAATCGGAGCGGTAGAAGTGCTGATTAAAATAATATTGTATCGACTGTTCGACACCTCAGATCCAGTCCAAGATCGGTTCGAAAAGGCGGTTCATGCTATCAAATCGCCTGGTTATATCATGTTTTCACTGGGAATGTATTTATTATCACTGATTGCTGGGTTCACGGTGAGTTTTTTCATTTGATTAGCAAAGGCCGAGGATGCGACAAATCCATATTATTTTCCCGACAGACCGATATTTTCTCGCTAGCATGTTCAGCACCAACATTTCAGCTCTACTTCCAAAGCACCCAATACCTGAAAAAGTTTCGTTCGCAAAGTCAAAGTTTGAGTGAAAGTTTCGAAGTGAACCAAACCAAGAAGATTGTGAAGATTATGTGGCCTTTACTGATCGCCTATTTTCTCTGTGGACTGATATTTTCTCCTATTTGTATCGTCGCCTTCCGAATTTTGGTCTTTGGGAGTTCGCCAATGTGGGAAAAGTTCTTCGTTTTGTCACAGAAAGTAAGCGATCAAGAAATTTTTGTTATACAAAAACACTTTTCACAAGTTCGGATTGATGGCCAGGAGTCCTGAGATCGCACCAGTACTTGTCATAGCGCCCACTGATGAGCACGAAGATCATTTTGCATATCTCAGGGCCACTTGGAATTGAAAAAATTGTCCTTTATTGAACGTATTGCCGTGTAATATAAAATTTTTTTAATTGCGTTCGACCACAAGTAATCTCACGCCGTTAGCAGCCTTTTACAATATGAAACAAAAAGTTCGACACAAGTATAAAGAGATCTGCCCATTATGTGTTCCGATTTGTTGTCTGATCAAAAATAAATTAAAAAGTGACTGACAGTGGAGACAAGATCTATTTTCCTCTCATTTTTTGGATTACACAATTTAAAGTCATTTTGATCTGTTGAAGAGATTTGATTCAGAAAATTCTCTGTTTTTGTAGTCTTTTGACATTGTTTTAGATGTGTGAAGTATTTATTTTAAGTTGAGAATATTTAAGTTTAATTTTTGTTGCCTTAAACTTAATCTCATCCCTTAAATTTTACTTTCTCTGCATGGGCGGCTGGGTTCCACCACGAAAACTCTAATTTTATTCCGCAAGCGTCGCCTGGCAATTTCTGCGGCTATCCGCGGCTGCGGTCGATATCGATTCATCAGTCGGTTCTGGAGGCTTGGACGAAATAGGCCTGACCTAACGTACTGGCTTCGTTTATATTCACCTTCATACAAAATCTATTGGGCAAAATGAAGGATAACTCTAAACCATCCGGAAAAGGGATGGACCGTCTGATCCAGCTCGTTTCAAAACTTCAAGATGTTTTTTCCACTGTTGACGCCGCCAGTCAAGAAATGCAACTACCACAGATTGTTGTGGTTGGGGATCAAGTAAGTATTTTTTATTTTTTATCAATTTTTGTAGTAGAAGTGGTGTAATTTCATGTAATATCGCGGTGTAGCGCCTTATCGTTGTAGAACAAGGTGATTCCACAGTTTATAACTTGCTTTTTTTGGAAAGATTACGCTCGTTTGGTTTTTTATACCTAAAATAATACCTATCTTCAGAGTGCTGGAAAGTCGTCTCTTCTGGAGCGAATTGTGCGCCGTGACTTCTTGCCTCGTGGTACAGGCATTGTGACGCGTCAGCCATTGGTATTGGACCTGATCAGAACGCCCATTGGGGACAGAAGAAGGAAACGCCCCGGTATGTCTACTATAATGTAAATTATTGCTTTAGGTGCTCCAGCAGAAGGTGACTTTGCCCTCTTTGAGGGTGTAGAGAAGGTTTATACCGACTTCGAAGAAGTTCGCGAAGGGATTGAAGAGTTGACCCGAAAAACTTGTGGATCTAATAAGGTATAGGCAATTTCACAACTAAATTATTGTATTTTAGGGAGTTTCGGACAAACGCATCCATCTCAGAATTTATTCTGAGCATGTCGTTGATTTGAGTCTTGTAGACTTGCCTGGGCTGACCCGTGTAGCCGTCGGTGATCAGCCGGAAGACATCCCAGAGCAGATTCGCGGGATGATAGAGACCTTCATTGCTAACGAAAATACAATCATTTTGGCTGTGACTCCGGCTAACGTCGATTTGGCCACTTCTGAACCTTTGAAGCTGGCAAAACAATTTGATCCGAAGGGTGAGATTGATTTTTTGTGATGGAGAATATAGCAGACACCCTTTTTTATTGGAAAGCACCGCTGTGTTATCTTTAGGAGACCGCACAATCGCTGTGTTAACCAAATTGGACCTGATGGACAAGGGGACCTCTGCCGAACACGTCCTACTTGGTCATACGATTCCAGTGAAGCTGGGAATTGTCGGGGTGGTCAACAGGTCGCAGCAGGATCTCAACAACAACAAGTCTCTGGATGCGATGGAGGACGATGAGATCGCGTTTTTCAAGAAGAAATACCCCCATCTGGCCGCGGTAAATGGAAGCAATTACCTGGCGCAGCGCCTTAATGAGATTTTGATTGGACATATCAAGAGATGTCTGCCAGCCTTGGTTGTGAGAATCCACGACAAGACCGCGGAGAAGAAGAGAAAGCTGATTGAGCTCGGCGAAAGTTTTTCGGATCCGAACAATGCTGTTGTGAAGACGGTTACCCAATTTACCCAGACTTTCAATGCACTTTCATTCGATGGATGCGCCGTAATGGACAAAGAGGACAGAAGCCCTGCGGCAAAAATTTCATCCATTTTCCATGATGATTTTCCCGACGAGATTGATCAATTGAATCCATTGGAGGGAGTCAGAAGAGATGACGTCGACGCCTTCTTGAGAAACGCTACGGTAAGATGAGACTAAAATTGGTATTGAAGTGAGATATTTGCTAATGAGTGTCGAAAAACGTGAAATTTCTGTTTGAGAGGAAAATAGAATTTTTTGGTCGTTAAAATTTTTTTGGTAAGTCGTAATCATCTTTCGGATCTGTGCCAAGTGCAATATAAAATTTACAAAGTACATGTGTTTCGAGCTTCATGATTTTAAGAAAAGATGTTTTGGGGTCAACAAATTACTATGACAAGAAACATAAAATATTGTTTAGTCCATATGGTCATGTTTTATTTTTCAGGGTCTGAATCCGCATGTTTTCATTCCTCCAACTGCCTTTACCTCTCTACTCAGCAAACAAATCCTCAGATTGATCGAACCCTCCCTGAATGTAGTCGATGAAATCAAAGAAGAACTTATTGCCACTGTTCGCAGCTGTAATGTTGGCGTAAGTTATCATTATTGACTTTTATTATAGTTTATTGAAGTTTATGTGAAAAGGAATCTAGGTCGATTTGTTTTTAGGGTATATATGATCGTTTCCCCATGCTCCAAACCAGAATCCAGGTCATTGTAGAGGACGAACTGGAGCAGCAGGTGGAGGAGACCAAAAGGTTGATAACAAACTATATTGAATCTGAAGCAGCGTACATTAGTACGAGACATCCGACATTTGATCAGTTTTATAAAAAGCTCTACAGGAAGGAGTTTGAGGTCGGTTGTCTAAAATGTTATGTAAATAGTGATTTTTTTATGAATTTATGACTTGGTGAATGTGATTTTTTGTAGAAGAAGAATGCAGTAGACGCAAAAGAAGAGAAGAAACATGAGCCAGGTCCGTATGGGGATGTGGGGGTCAATGCTTTTTTTCCATCTGACGAGGAGAGTGATGAAGAGTATGATGGGGACAAAAGGAATGTTAGGTTGATCAGTAAGTAATTTATGATTTTTTGATTCTTGTTTTAGGAAAATTGGTCCCCGCCTACTTCGTTACGGTTAAGTGTAACATCAAAGACGCTATTCCCAAGCTGATTGTCAAGAATATGGTCAGGTACTTGCATGAGAATCTGATGCCAGTCTTGATGACAAAATTATTGGAAGACGTTGAAGAGCTTTTCAAGGAGGATCAACGCACTGTCGCTGAAAGAAACCATTGCCTGAAGTTGTTGGAAGCCCTCAAGAAAGCCGAGAAGTGTATTAGAGAGATCGGCCAAGTATACTAACCTAATTTTATATTGTTCATGATGATCTTCATTTATTTTTAATCTTTTATCCATATTGTTATTTGTTTTGTTGAATGCCTGATTGTTATAAAATTCATGCTGTAGTTGAATTTGTAATTGTGTCATTTTTGATCAAGAATGATCTCTTGAAATCAACGAAACAAAACGATTTGCCGAGATTTAAAACGGACTTTTTTACAAAGTGAAGCATGGCCCGGACATTGTTGCGGTGACCATCACCGAATTTCTTCAAATTTGGCTCATAGAACACCCACAAGGCATACATCAAAAGCGTCAAACGTTTTCCCAAAATTTGCATTATTTCGGGATTACTGTAAAATTTTGTGTTTTATAAAGCGGCCGTTGTCGTGGACCAGGTGATCGCCCTACGGGTTCGAAACTTCTTGTCTGTATGTTTTCGAACATGGCCAACATTTTTCTAATTGAAACTTTTTTTGTATCTTTTCGTCTTTCGGTAGTACCGTAATCGTCATGATACCATATCGATTACTGCCGAAAATTGGAAAGAGTGTAACAAGTTTTCAAACCGGATTATAAAAGTTGGACACCCTTCCCGTAAAATAAAACAAAAAAATCAAAAATAAAAATATAAGTTTTTGAGATATAAGCGTTCAAAGTTGCTATGTTCGGTTACTGTAGGACCAAAATAGAGACGATCAATTTTTAAACTTTTCCATTAATCTCTACGGTTCACATATTAATAGATCAGCCTGAGAAAAATATTTTCAGGTCAAAAAATAAATATTTGAGGCTTTTTTTTCAGGCTTTATACGATGGTTACTGTAGTTTCTAACTTTTATTAATTTCGCTAACAAATTTATTGGAATGACGAATTTAGACAAGCTATCCGGGTCAGAAACGCGCATACATCATGGAAGGCAAAAATCAGAATCGTAATACTACCCATTCCTGAAATAGTGGGAGATTACGGTAGCCGTACCCACTTTTTTCGCTGTTTGGCCGCGGCATTCTTTGGAGCTACGAGTGTAACAACTTTTGAGGCCTGAAATTCATTCATGATGGATAGAAGAGCATTTCAGCAAAAAATCGCGAAAATAAAAATATAAGTTTTTGAGAAAATCCAGGATTACGGTCATTTTAGGGGTTTTTGGGCCGTTTGGCCGCGGCATTCTTTGGAGCTGCGAGTGTAACAACTTTTAAGGCCTGAAATTCATTCAGGATGGATAGAAGAGCATTTCAGCAAAAAATCGCGAAAATAAAAATATAAGTTTTTGAGAAAATCCAGGATTACGGTCATTTTAGGGGGTTTCCTCTCCTAAACTACCGTAATCCGGGATTTTCTCAAAAACTTATATTTTTATTCTCGGGCTTTTTTACATAGGTACTGTCTAGAGCATCGGGGATGTATTTCAGGCTTCAAAAGTTGTTACACTCGCAGCTCCAAAGAATGCCGCGGCCAAACGGCCCAAAAACCCCCTAAAATGACCGTAATCCTGGATTTTCTCAAAAACTTATATTTTTATTTTCGCGATTTTTTGCTGAAATGCTCTTCTATCCATCATGAATGAATTTCAGGCCTCAAAAGTTGTTACACTCGCAGCTCCAAAGAATGCCGCGGCCAAACGGCCCAAAAACCCCTAAAATGACCGTAATCCTGGATTTTCTCAAAAACTTATATTTTTATTTTCGCGATTTTTTGCTGAAATGCTCTTCTATCCATCATGAATGAATTTCAGGCCTCAAAAGTTGTTACACTCGCAGCTCCAAAGAATGCCGCGGCCAAACGGCCCAAAAACCCCCTAAAATGACCGTAATCCTGGATTTTCTCAAAAACTTATATTTTTATTTTCGCGATTTTTTGCTGAAATGCTCTTCTATCCATCATGAATGAATTTCAGGCCTCAAAAGTTGTTACACTCGTAGCTCCAAAGAATGCCGCGGCCAAACAGCGAAAAAAGTGGGTACGGCTACCGTAATCTCCCACTATTTCAGGAATGGGTAGTATTACGATTCTGATTTTTGCCTTCCATGATGTATGCGCGTTTCTGACCCGGATAGCTTGTCTAAATTCGTCATTCCAATAAATTTGTTAGCAAAATTAATAAAAGTTAGAAACTACAGTAACCATCGTATAAAGCCTGAAAAAAAAGCCTCAAATATTTATTTTTTGACCTGAAAATATTTTTCTCAGGCTGATCTATTAATATGTGAACCGTAGAGATTAATGGAAAAGTTTAAAAATTGATCGTCTCTATTTTGGTCCTACAGTAACCGAACATAGCAACTTTGAACGCTTATATCTCAAAAACTTATATTTTTATTTTTGATTTTTTTGTTTTATTTTACGGGAAGGGTGTCCAACTTTTATAATCCGGTTTGAAAACTTGTTACACTCTTTCCAATTTTCGGCAGTAATCGATATGGTATCATGACGATTACGGTACTACCGAAAGACGAAAAGATACAAAAAAAGTTTCAATTAGAAAAATGTTGGCCATGTTCGAAAACATACAGACAAGAAGTCTCAGCCCCGTAGGGCGATCGCCCGGTCCGTGACAACGGCTGCTTTACAAAACCCAAATTGTTACAGTAATCGCGGACTGGTTGAAATTTCGCGAAACCCTTCTTCGCTTTTCATCAGCATGCTCAGGCCCTTCTACTGGCCAAGTTTCAAGAAATTTGGTGATGGTCGTTGCAACAATGTCCGGGCCCCTTGGAGGGAAGCTTCAGTTTGTAAAAAACTCTCTTTTAAGACATTTTCCGTCCAAACATCGGTCCAAAGTGCACGCGAAAAACGTAAACAAAGGAAGGAGACGTTCACGGAGGATAGGTTACCCCAAGTATCGGATAGGTTACCTCGGAGGATAGGTTACCCTTTTCCTAAAAAAAAATTTTTTTGAAATGTTTTCGCTTCGGGACTTGGGAAAAAAGGATTTTTTGTGAAAATTGAAAAAAATTTGAATTTTTTTCGAGCTGACTGAGTATGAACTGACTGAATATGAAAACTGGGTTTCTGTTACTTTACTACCTTTAGGGATTCTTTTTGAAATTTTTTCGACTTATAGCACTTTTAGACGTTAATGGTGTTGTTTTGGTGCCTAGTACTGCTTAAAAAACACATTTTGAACACTTGGTACTAAATAGTACTACCTCTTTTCGAAGGTGCTGGTCTCGAAAATCATGTTAACTTTTCCTCAATTACTCATTAGTACTATATGATACTATGTACTACCAGCACCTTCGAAAACCCCTAAAGATCAAAAATTACTACTTTACAGTACTACTTAAGAAAAAAGTAAGAATCAAAAAAATTACTTTTTGGTTTCCCCAACCGTACTTTTCCCCAATCGTCTTTTTCCCCAATCGTCCCAGTTCCGTTGAAGAGATTTGATTCAGGAAATTTTCTGTTTTTGTAGTCTTTTGACATTGTTTTAGATGAGTGTTGGCGACTTCACTGATTGTGAAACCGCCAATTCTTTCCCACGAATTTGCATTGAATCAAAGGACAAAGTCTTCATAAGATCAATTTCCCCTATTCTCAGAAGTCGGTGCCTCGCCCCTCTCATGTGCGGTTGTGTCTTTCTCGTGTCTTGCCTAGGGTTCGGACGGGGTATATACCCAAATACCCTAGAGGCCGGAAATTTTCGGGTATTTATGGGTATATTCAAATTACTTTTGCATTCAAAAAAATTTTAAAAAAAGTCGAGTTTTGTCATAAAAAATCAATGAATGTTGACATTTTGTCATATTTGTTTTTTGCCTCTCAAAACTTACAAGGGAAGTACTTGAAGTGTGACGCTCAGATTTTGATGAAACTTGGCACAAATTTAGAATAATTTTTTCTAAGATATATGCGGGAATCCTAGCTCGCGCTTTGCAGAAACAACCGAGATTTTTAGATCGAAAGTCGGCGAAAATTTGGGACTTTTTGCCGAATTTCGGCACGAAAAGTTTCATGCCTATTTCAACCGTAAAGAATAATGTTTCTACAAAAAATCAAATTTTTCCGCACGAAACTGCCAAAGTTATGGCCAAAAAGCGGTTTTCTCTCTGACCGCTCTCCACGTTGAGCGTGCTCTCTCGGCGGCAAAAATCGTTCAATATCTCGGCGGCGCCCGCAAAGCGCGAGCTAAAACTTTCAGGAATTGATATTTAGTCCATACCCGATGTGTGTGCAAAATTTAAAGAAAATCTGAGCGTCACACTTGAAGTACTTCCCCTGTTAGTTGTAAGGTTGAAATTTACTTGGCCGGAGTCGGGAAATAAACGGGGAAAAGTTGAAAATCTGACTGCCAATTATTGGATTGCTAAACTTTTTGATTGGTAAAGTACTAGTTTTGTTTGTAGTAGTTGGGAAAATAGAGAATATCACTCCAAACATGATTAGGTTAATGAATAACTTGCCACTTATTCATTAACGACTTCATATTGGTACTATATTGGACTAATTTAGGCTAATTTTATAAATACCCGAATATACCCGAGATTTCGGGTATATACCCGGGAATATACCCGGGTTTATACCCGCGTGGTGAATATACCCGAATTTTCCGAACCCTAGTCTTGCCCAGTAAACCTTTTATTCTCCTATTGTCTACGTTCGTTTATAATGAGTGAGGTGTTTATTTTAAGTTGAGAATATTTAAGTTTAATTTTTGTTGCCTTAAACTTAATATCATACCTTGTTTTACCATCTACATTTTATTCGGATCTCATTCAAAATCAAATTTTACTTTCGCTGCATGGGCGGCTGGGTTCCACCACGAAAACTCAAATTTTATTCCGCAAGCGTCGCCTGGCAATTCTCTGCGGCTATCCGCGGCTGCGGTCGATATCGATTCATCAGTCGGTTCTGGAGGCTTGGCGAAATAGGCCTGACCTAACGTACTGACTTCGTTTATACTCCCCTTCATACAAAATCTATTGGACAAAATGAAGGACACAGGAACAAAGTCTAAACCATCCGAAAAAGGGATGGATCGTCTGATCCAGTTGGTTTCCAAACTCCAAGATGTTTTCTCGACTGTCGACGCCGCCAGTCAAGAAATGCAACTACCACAGATTGTTGTGGTTGGTGATCAAGTAAGTATTTTTTATTTTTTATCGTTTTTTGTAGTAGAAGTGGTGTAATTTCATGTAATATCGCGGTGTAGCACCTTATCATTGTAGAACAAGGTGATTCCACAGTTTATAACTTGCTTTTTTTGGAAAAATTACGCTCGTTTGGTTTTTTATACCTAAAATAATACAACTATCTTCAGAGTGCTGGAAAGTCGTCTCTTCTGGAGCGAATTGTGCGCCGTGACTTCTTGCCTCGTGGTACAGGCATTGTGACGCGTCAGCCATTGGTATTGGACCTGATCAGAACGCCCATTGGGGACAGAAGAAGGAAACGCCCCGGTATGTCTACTATAATATAAATTATTGCTTTAGGTGCTCCAGCAGAAGGTGACTTTGCCCTCTTTGAGGGTGTAGAGAAGATTTATACCGATTTCGATGAAGTTCGCGAGGGGGTTGAAGAGTTGACCCGAAAAACTTGTGGATCTAATAAGGTATTGGCAGTTTCACGACTAAATTATTGTATTTTAGGGAGTTTCGGACAAACGCATCCATCTCAGAATTTATTCTGAGCATGTCGTTGATTTGAGTCTTGTAGACTTGCCTGGGCTAACCCGTGTAGCCGTCGGCGATCAGCCGGAAGACATTCCAGAGCAGATCCGCGGGATGATAGAGACCTTCATTGCTAACGAAAATACAATCATTTTGGCTGTGACTCCGGCTAACGTCGATTTGGCCACTTCTGAACCTTTGAAGCTGGCAAAACAATTCGATCCGAAGGGTGAGATTGATTTTTTGTGATGGAGAATATAGCAGACACCCTTTTTTATTGAAAAGCACCGCTGTGTTATCTTTAGGAGACCGCACAATCGCTGTGTTAACCAAATTGGACCTGATGGACAAGGGGACCTCTGCCGAACACGTCCTACTTGGTCATACGATTCCAGTGAAGCTGGGAATTGTCGGGGTGGTCAACAGGTCGCAGCAGGATCTCAACAACAACAAGTCTCTGGATGCGATGGAGGACGATGAGATCGCGTTTTTCAAGAAGAAATACCCCCATCTGGCCGCGGTAAATGGAAGCAGTTACCTGGCGCAACGCCTTAATGAGATTTTGATTGGACATATCAAGAGATGTCTGCCAGCCTTGGTTGTGAGAATCCACGACAAGACCGCGGAGAAGAAGAGAAAGCTGATTGAGCTCGGCGAAAGTTTTTCGGATCCGAACAATGCTGTTGTGAAGACGGTTACCCAATTTACCCAGACTTTCAATGCACTTTCATTCGATGGATGCGCCGTAATGGACAAAGAGGACAGAAGCCCTGCGGCAAAAATTTCATCTATTTTCCATGATGAGTTTCCCAAAGAGATTGATCAATTGAATCCATTGGAGGGAGTCAAAAGAGATGACGTCGACGCCTTCTTGAGAAACGCTACGGTAAGTTGAGAAAAAAAAGAAAACTAAAATTGGTATTGAAGAGAGATATTAGCTAATGAGTGATGTAATACGTGAAATTTGCGGTCTTGAAATAAAGAAAATTTAGGTCTCTAGCACGCCACGAAAAAAGTGGAAATAGAGAAATTCGCGCGAAAATGTTTTTGACATTTTATACGCTGAAACCTCTACAAATATAAAAGAAAACTGATTCCAAAATTCGAATAAAAGAACAATTTATGTGTGAAAACGACGGGAAAGCATCGTAAAAGATTGGGATTTGAAGAAGAACTTGGCCTTGACGTCGGAATTCTTTCCGAAACATCGAGCTGAGGCGACGTTGCCAACGTGGTGCAAGCTTTCCAGGCCTTGTTCTCTGTAGAGCCCCCACGAACCATGGGATGTGACGAAGTCGGCAACGTGGGCTTCAAGGAGGTGCAACTTGTTTATCGCACGAAGTCCACTGTGTCTCCACGCGTTTGACAGCAGAAGAATGTCCCGTTCAATGCAAGGCTTCGTGAGATCATCTTGAATGTGGACATCAATTGTTGCCCAATCAAAAATCCTGTCCAAAGATGAAAAAACGTCGCTGAAAACGGCAAATTGTGGGTTGCCATTTTCAGCTAAGCTCTTGACCAGCCTCCTTCCATCTCTGCCGTTGAGCATAGATTTGGAGAGATGGGAGGGTGCTATGTTGAGGTCATCGCACACGGCCTTCCATTCATCCGGGTTGTCCTTCTTCATCTCCTCTGCCAATGAGTTCGTCAACCCCTGGAGGCAATGTAGTGGGGGACACAGTACATCTTCCTGCAGAAGACTTATCAGAGGATCTCTGTAAGTCCTCTTCCCAGCGTCCGTCGTCATCGCCCTCTTGTGCTCTGCACGCTCCACGGTGCAGTTGGGACAGAATTGGGTTGCTCCAGCCGCCTTTATACCCAGGATGAAAGGTACCACCTTCAAATCACTGCAAAGCAAGAGAGAGCTCTAGTAAGGTGAAAAATGAGAGATTATTGATTTTTTTGCTGTTTGAGAGGAAAATAGAATTTTTTGGTCGTTAAAATTTTTTTGATAAGTCGTAATCATCTTTCGGATCTGTGCCAAGTGCAATATAAAATTTACAAAGTAAATGTGTTTCGAGCTTCATGATTTTAAGGAACAATGTTTTGGGGTCAACAAATTACTGTGACAGAGAACATAAAATATTGTTTAGTCCATATGGTCATGTTTTATTTTTCAGGGTCTGAATCCGCATGTTTTCATTCCTCCAACTGCCTTTACCTCTCTACTCAGCAAACAAATCCTCAGATTGATCGAGCCCTCTCTGAATGTTGTCGATGAAATAAAGGAAGAACTAATTGCCACTGTTCGCAGCTGTAATGTTGGCGTAAGTTATCATTATTGACTTTTATTATAGTTTATTGAAGCACAGGGTGTTTCAAAAAATTTGGAACAAATTATTTGCTTATATCTTTGTTGTCTGTGCAGCTATCAACGAAATTCTTTTTGCTTCTAAAAATTGACGTCGTCCGTTTTTAGAATCTCTTAAAAAAAATTTTTTTCGTCGGCGGAGGGCCCATTTCTCGGCGGACAAAATTAGGGCCTTTTTTAAAAATCACATCGTATTACGTGGCGGAAACGCCGTTGCAACGGCTGAAATCAAGTTTACGTTAAACCTCCGTTGATTTTACGGTATGTTTTTTTTGCGTTTTCGATTTACCGCGGAGGCGCGGCGGAGACCTCAGATTTCGGCGGACGTTGTTTTGGGCCTTCGGCTTTTGCAAATTCATGTTGGAAAAGAGGTTGGGGCGATTTTTTGTATTCATCGGTGCACAGATGGCAAAATTTTCGTACTTTCTTTCCCCGGCGGAGGCTTTATCAGAGGGTCAAAACGAAACTCCGCCGATTTGTCCGCCGGAAAGAAAGTACGAAATTTTTGCCATCTGTGCATCGATGAATACAAAAAATCGCCCCAACCTCTTTTCCAACATGAATTTGCAAAAGCCGAATGCCCAAAACAACGTCCGCCGAAATCTGAGGTCTCCGCCGCGCCTCCGCGGATGTGCGTAAAATCGAAAACGCAAAAAAGCATACCGTAAAATCAACGGAGGTTTAACATAAACTTGATTTCAGCCGCTGCAACGGCGCGCCGCGGCGGCGTTTCCGCCACGTAATACGATGTGATTTTAAGAAAAGGCCCTAATTATCCCCGCCGAGAAATGGGCCCTCCGCCGACGAAAAAATTTTTTTGGCTTCGTGGAAACTGGACAGAGTGAAATTGGACAGAAATAATTTGGACAGAGCGTGGAAATTGGACAGAGTGAAACTCGACAGATTTTTTTTCACTGCAAAAAATAATTATTTGATGATTCAATATTGACATTTCGTACGATTGCAGCGAAAATCTGTCCAATTTCACTCTGTCCAATTTCACTCTGTCCAATTTCACCCTGTCCAATTTCCACGCTCTGTCCAAATTATTTCTGTCCAATTTCACTCTGTCGAATTTCACTCTGTCCAATTTCCACGAAGCCATTTTTTTTAGAGATTCTAAAAACGCACGACGTCAATTTTTAGAAGCAAAAAGAAATTCGTTGATCGCAAATTATTTGTTCCAAATTTCTTGAAACACCCTGTATATGCGAAAAAGAATATAGTTCAATTTGTTTTTAGGGTATATATGATCGTTTCCCGATGCTCCAAACCAGAATCCAGGTCATTGTAGAGGATGAGTTGGAGCAGCAGGTTGAGGAGACCAAAAAGTTGATCACAAATTACATTGAATCGGAAGCAGCTTACGTTAGTACGAGACATCCTACATTTGATCAGTTCTACAAGAAGCTCTACAGGAAGGAATTTGAGGTAGGTTGTCTAAATAGTGATTTTTTATGAATCTATGACTTGGTGAATGTGATTTTTTGTAGAAGAAGAATCCAGAAGCCGCAAAAGAAGACCATGAGCCAAGACCGTGTGGCCATCCTCTATTATTATCGTCGGAAGATGCACATCAGAATGAAAATAGAAGAAAAAGGAAATTTCATGATCTAGATGATTCAGATGACGGGAATAATGGAGAGTATGATGGGGACAAAAGGAATGTTAGGTTGATCAGTAAGTAATTTATGATTTTTTGATTCTTGTTTTAGGAAAATTGGTCCCCGCTTACTTCGATACGGTCAAGAGTAACATCAAAGACGCTATTCCCAAGCTGGTTGTCAAGAATATGGTCAGGTACTTGCATGAGAATCTGATGCCAGTCTTGCTGACAAAGTTATTGGAAGAAGTTGAAGAGCTCTTCAAGGAGGATCAACGCACTATCGCTGAAAGAAACCATTGCCTGAAGTTGTTGGAAGCCCTCAAGAAAGCCGAGAAGTGTATTAGAGAGATCGGCCAAGTATACTAACCTAATTTTTTGTTGTTCATGATGATCTACATTTATTTTTAATCTTTTATCCATGTTGTTGTTTGTTTTGTTGAATGCTTATTGTTATAAACTTCATGCTGTAGTTGAATTTGTAATTGTGTCCTGTTTGATCAAGAATGATCTCTTGAAATCAACGAAACAAAACGATTTCCTGAGATTTACGACATTTTCCGTCCAAAAATCGGTCCAAAGTGCACGCGAAACCCGTAAACAAAGGAAGGAGATCGCCGTATTTTGGTTCAAGACGGATACTCTGATCGCTCTCTGTGTCCGCCGAAGTCTTTTCGCTCCGATAAGATTTCGAAAATCGAAGGGAAACGCGTACTTTATATCAGAATTGGTGGTTTTTGGTTTCCTTTTGTCATTCCCCGATTTGATCTAGACACGAGACGAAAAAAGAGATTGTTTATGAAGAAGAGAGGGCCCGGTGTTGAGGAGAGACTGATTAGACGATATTTTATTGCAATATTCTCCATGTGACGTACAAAAATCACGATTTTTGACCGAAACTTCCTGAAAACCTTCATTTTTTCGCTTAAAAATGCGTACAGGTCTCCAAGAACTCCTGCTTTATAGAGGACTTGCCATGAATGAGTCTTCCAGACAGATTTCCTAATGTTTTGAGACCTTTTGCGGTCAAATATGCTGTTAAACCCTCTGCGGCCAGCGTATTTTCGTCTCAAAGAACGCTAAATTTAGCTCAAAGTCTGTGTGTTTGTGTTTTAATGGGCAGAAAAGAACAGCTCAAAGCATTCATAACGACCATCCACACGCTCCCGAAAAAAATTTGAGCGTTCTTTGCTTACTCCAATTTTTATAGATGATAATCGCCGATTATTGAGGGAATTTTCTGTTGTTTATTTGAATATTCAATATTAATATTGCATTTGCATCCGTTTACGGCTTTTTAGGAGCCTTGACAGTAGTTGATTATGGTAATTTAAATGAGAAATCAAGGTTTTCGGATATTGCATTTGATGGATAACGTGGAATAGGGGAAGTTTTATGATTGTAATCGGAAAAAAGGAGTAGTAGAAGTTGACAAATCACTCTTTAAGAATTTTAAGGCGCTTGCAATAAAATTTTATTTTAATTGCCGCTTTAAACGGTCAAAGAGCAGAAAAAATCATCTTCACTGTGCGAAATTTTTCAAATTCTGTAATCCTAAATTTTTGATGGTAAACAGTAGGGATAGGAGTATACAACAAACGCTGTAATAATGCTAAATGTCGTTACTAAACACTCATTTGTTTGTTTCCTTTTATCAATTTTCGTGATGACTCTTGATCAAATTTCTTATCAAAGAAAAAGTTTCGCAGCCTACGTGCTCGTTTCAGGAAGTCTGAAAAGGGTAAACAGAAGTGTTTTCAACATGTCCGAGTCCAAGATTACAAATACTTTGCGATTTACTTTTTCGAAAACACGTTTTGTTTACATCACCCATCCTGAGCTAATCCTGAAAAAGAGTGAAACAATTTTTTGAGTCGAAATCGCTTCTGAATTAGATAATAGGTCTGTTACTAGTAACTGTACGACTTGGTACACTTAGTTCCACAAGAAACCCTATGATTTTCCAATAAAAACCAATTCTCAATCTCATCATAAGCAATATTCGTTGTCTGATCAAACAACAAAGTTTGTGTCCAACTAACGGATGGAAACTCTGAGCAAAGGTCATTCCGAGCGAACTGCAGACCCACGAGTTTCAAAATGCACACCTGACAATGCAAGCCGAAGGAAAACAAGGATGCTTTTTGGAGGGGAAACCGGCCAAACGCTTCTTCGAAACTACTCCAAACTTTGTTTTCATCAATTTCTCAAGTGAAGTAAGAGCTCTTATCAAAATTTACTGCCATTCAAATAATCGCTAATTTATTTTATAACAATATGGAATATTTACAGAGTATAAATTTACAAGGTTAATGTGAATGTTAGAAAATTGTAGTTACAAAGTAATCTAGATAGCATAAAGATCATAAAATCCCGTTTAGAGGGCTTGGATTCTCTTTTCCTGAGCGTCGAGTTGCTTTCGGATGGGATCGGGGAGATCAGGGCCCACTTGTTCCTCGAGGAATTGTCTCACGGCCTTGGCGTCTTCCTTCCAGTAGTCGGGTGGGAGGGACATCAACTCCTTCATGTTGATATCGCCCAATCCATCCAAATTGAGACTGTCGTGGGTGGGGACCACTCCAATCGCCGTGTCCACGCCAATCCCATCTTCTCCATCGAGTCGGCGGATGATCCAATCGATGACTCGGATGTTCTCACCATATCCGGGCCACAGGAACTTGCCGCTCTCTTGGCCCTTGCGGAACCAGTTCACGTGGAAGATCTTGGGGATCTAAACATTCAATATTCACTCCATTTTCATCAAAAAACTCAAGATTTTTCACATCTAATCTTATGCTTCACCTACCTGTCTGCCGGGTTTTTGCATGTCAAGCCAGTGCTGGAGGTAGTGTCCAAAGTTGTAGCCCATGAAAGGCCGAGCAGCCATTGGATCCCAGAGCAATTTCTTGCCTAAAATAATTAAAATTACGAATTATTTTATACATTGCATCTAACGTCATATAATCCTTCTTACCAGTGTGTTCAGCAGCAGCAGTGGCTTCAGACTTCAAGCAGGCGCCGGTGAAGACTCCATGTTCCCAATCGAAGGCTTGGAAGACCAATGGGACACCAGTTGGGCGACGTCCGCCGAAAATAATGGCATCGATTGGTACACCCTTCGGCGACTCCCAATCCGGATGAATAATGGGGCATTGCGAGGCCGGAGCGCAGAATCTCGAGTTGGGATGGGCGGCTGGAGTGGGGTCTCCCAATTTCCATGGGTTGCCCAGCCAGTCAGTGATCTTGACATCCTGAAAGAAAACACATTTTAGTCCAGATCTAAATCAACATAAAAATTTATTCAAAATTCAAACTGCTTACCTTGTCCTTGATCTCATCTTCCAATCCTTCCCAATAATATTCTCCAGTATCTGTTTCAGCGACATTCGTAAAGATCGAGTTCTTCTGACAAGTGGCAATGGCCATTGGATTCGTTTTGTTCGAGGTGCCCGGGGCGACTCCAAAGAATCCGGCTTCAGGATTGATGGCATACAGTCTTCCATCTTCTCCGAACTTCATCCAGGCAATATCATCTCCCACACATCGTACCTTCCATCCCGGTAAACTCGGCTGAAGCATGGCCAAGTTGGTTTTACCGCAGGCCGATGGGAAAGCGGCCGCAATAAAGTGTTCCTTTCCGTTCGGACGGGTGACTCCCATGATCAGCATGTGCTCCGCCATCCATCCCTCGTCTCTGGCCAGATTCGACGCGATTCTGAGCGCGAAACATTTCTTTCCCAGCAGCGAATTTCCTCCGTATCCCGAGCCGAACGACCAAATCTCGCGTTCCACCGGGCGATGCGCAATCAGCACCTTGTCCGGGTTGCAGGGCCAGTGGTTGATGACCTTCTCTGTAAAAAAAAATATCCGTTAGATAGTCAGTTTAATCTTTATTTTCTATTTTTTGCTCAATTTATATTACACATGGCATCTCAAGGCCATTTTCTTTCCGATCTCGTGCAAAAAGTATTTAGGTGATAAATGATATGGAGGTAAACAAACTTATTTTGGCGTCGGAAAAGACCCAAACACAAAAACCGTGTACTTTGTTCACTGATATTATCATTCACTGACCTTCCATCAAATCCAATTCAAAACATGTTACTTATCAATGACATTGGAAAGTTTTTAAAAGTTCTCCCCACTTTTTCCCATGCCAAAACCATCTCCAAACTTACGCTTTACAGGTCGAGGAAGACCAACCGAGTGAATACAACGGACAAAATCATTTTCCCCAAGCAACTCCCAGAGTTGCGGAGTGACTCTGGTCATGATTCTCATGGACAGGACGACATAGTTGGCATCAGTCAATTGGATACCGATCTTGGACAAGGGAGAGCCAAGGGGACCCATGGAAAATGGGATCACATACATGATGCGGCCAGCCATACATCCCGGGAAACGGGCGTCCAATTCATCGGCAAACACCTCGGGAGGCATCCAATGACCCATGATGGGCTCCACACCTTCCGGAGTTCGGGTGACCGTCTGAAAATTTTAGGTTTATTATATTATCCATGATAATTAGGTGACAAAATCAAAAAAAAATGATAATTTACCGTGTGTTTGTCCTTGGTGACAATCCAGGTCTTGCTCTCGACACGTGCTACGTCCTTGGGGTCAGTACGGCACAGGTAGTTATTCTCGTAGGCAGTCAACTCGGTCAGCATACCTCTTTCGATCAGCTTGTGAGTGATCTCTTCGGCCTCGTGTTCGGAGCCATCGCAGATGTAGATTCCACGAGGACGCATCAGCTCGGCCTTCTCGGCGATGAAACGTTGGACCTTGAAGGGCAGGACATGGAGATCTCCCTGAAAATAGAGCAAATTTATATTATTCTTGACATGTATTAGGTCATCTTGGAAAAAGGCCAAATTGCGTAATTCGAAATTAGGAAAGCAAGATTATCCGCAACGTATTTGCTCAGCTAGAAGGAATTTCAGCCCCTGAAATTATTATTGCCTTATCCAAATTTAGTTTTTTCCGTTCCCCGCAAATATAATAAAGGCCGTTTTATCTGCTCAAAGACTCCAAAAAAAAACACTTCAAAGTGACATAACGTAATCCTAAAACTGCTTCTAGCATCTAAAATGAGCAATTCCTCACCTTAACAATGGGCATGTGTCCCAATCTCTTGATGACTACCTCGTTCACCACGTAGAAGGCATCTTCACTGATCTGACGCAACGAGCTCGATGCGTTTGGTGTGTTCCGATAAGGAGTTAATTTCGAGGGATCTACGGCCATATTGGACTGTTGTCGACAAACTGAAAAACACCTAAATTAATATCCGAAGGCCGAAGAAACAAGACCAAGAAATAGCGTGGACCGTCCGCGGAGATAATTATACACATCAAGTGATCGGGTAAGTCTAATCAGAAGACGGTCAGCAAACCGATGGGAGGACCCCCAACAAAAAATAAACACCGATCTGTTTGTCATTGAAACGGGGCGGAGAGAGCAAAGTTCTCATCGCCTCGTGGCTAACGGCGCTTTCAACATCGCTCCTCCCAGTAAATTCGTTGGACTTTGCACGTTCTTTTCTTCGGAAAGAAACTTCCGACTTGGCCAAGAAACATTCTCCCGCGCTACATCCCAACACGAAAACAACGAATGCCAAGGAAGCGGGCAAAATGCCTGCAAATCTCTGGCATTCCGTTGCAACAGCAGATTCTTTTTTTTGTGATTCGCAGACAATTTTCGGTCGGGTTTAGTCGCTGAAAAATGTTTTCTCAACCTCATTCCTCGATGGAGTCCTCATTTTCTCACCGGCGATCCGTCCTTATCCCAAACGACAGCTTGGGAATCGAGAATGGGACAGTTGGAGCCGTCAGATTCGGACAAAACAACAGTTTCTTGGCGCCACAACCTCCTCAGAGGTTTCAGAATCCAACCGGAGATACAAACGAATCAGACTCCGGCCCGAGTTTCTTGTTTGGCAACCGGAATGCCCAGAAAAGAAAGAGTTTGGCTTTGCAAAGCCGAGCACAAGGTAAGTGTTTTGTTTTCAATCTTTTTTTGTTTAGGTTTGTTGGTTCTTGATGTAAAATGGAGTATTTTAGCTAACAAGAGTGTTCATTGGAGTCCCAACTTGGTCCGTGCCCAGGAAACTCCGCAGGAATCTGGTTTAGGGTCAGCTGCACCATCACTTCACCGAAGGGCAACTGTGGCCGGCCCTCACTCCTGGAATGCTCCACCCGCTTCCATGGTGAAAGGGCCTCCGCTGCGGTCTATGTTGAACACGGAACCACCGGCAAAGATGCAACGAGTCGATCAGAAAGCTGCTATCAAGGAAGCCTTCCAATTCGAGGGAACTTCGGATGATCCTGCGGATTACTGGGTGACTGTCTTTGGGTTTGATCCTGAACACAAAGATATGATTCTGCCGTTGTTTTCGCGCCATGGAACCATTGCTAGCCATAAGGTGAGTTATTTGTTGTCAATAATGAGCTTAAAGTGTAGTGTAAATTATCTTGTTTATTGTTGTAGATTCCGCCTAAAGGTAATTGGCTCCACATCCGTTATTCGTCGGTCCAGCATGCACAACAAGCGTTGCAGAGAAATGGCTTTGTTCTAGATCAGATTGTTAAAATTGGAGTAGAAAGGTGCAAGGACAAGGTACGGTTGATCTTTTTTCTGTTATTTTTGCTTTTAGGAAGTGCTATCGGATGACACCATGAATCCATACAATACCAGTACTAATAACATCCCGGATGTCTCTTTTGAAGGACCAGGAGGGAGTGATACTCTCAATTCCAGTAGATTTTCGCTGAACCAATCGATGAACTCGGCGGCGAAGTAAGTGGTTTTTAATTTGTATGATTCTCAGTGGGTTTTGAGGCAATGTAGATGCAGATTGAGCTACCGGAATAACTTAGAATCAGAAAAATTCCCGGGTTAGTCCTACGAGTTTACTTTTTCCATTCTTCAATTTTAGGTATAATTTGATAATTTTTAGCCGTTCTCGACTCTCTGCCATCTCCCGATCAGGTATTCGTCGAGCTTATGATGCCGATACGAGTGTAAGTTTTAATAATAAATGTTATCTATACAGCAAGTATAATATAACTTATTTTTATTATTGTTTTTATTTCAGCTAAACACGAGCAAAAAGGACGACTCGTTCTTAAACAAATTGTGGAGTTTTGTCGCACCACAATAACCGATATAGTAAACAGTATCATTTTGTTTTCAGTATTCACTTAATTAACTGTTGGCCGTATAGTAGTACTGATTGTTAAGAATCTGTAATCCCGTTATTATATTTTATCGACATTTTTTGCAGACCTGATTAAACTTATAATTAAGAAATTGTTTTATTTACAAATCCCGATTTCACAAGGCAATTACAAGATCAGAGGTTAATACTTCGCGTAAAGTCGTACTCGATGGTGGGTATAACGGTCTGGACAAACTTGAGGAAGATGAGAAGGTATTGGAGGACGCTCAGCTCCTTCCCCGCATCGGCATATTGCTCGATCAGACGTTTCATTACATCCGCATGCCGGCAAGGGTGAATTGAGGCCATTTGGAGGTTCAAATGCGGGTGAGACTCGATGGTCACGGTCTTGTTGGCGTGGTCCTGGAAAAAATAGTGGATTATAAGCGCTTACAAGGGAAGTCGTTCAGATCGCAAATGAGCTGAGCTATGGGACCGGTATATTCTGATTCTCCATATTCGAAAACGGTAAGAGCTAAAACAATTTTTCCGTCTGGGCCCTGGTTTTCGAGAAAATCGACCGTAAAGTTTGATCGGAAACTCCGCTAAATAGTCCTCGCTCCGAAAGGCCTTTGAAACAAGAGCCAAATGGCAGAGGGCGAGTGAAAACGCTCTCAAAATTCTTTTGTCCGTGATACTTTTGTCCGTGAAAGGTTCGAGTCCCGCTAGGCTCAAACCCGTGTCCAAAAAGCTTTGATATTGAGAAAGATAAAAAAAATAAAAATTTTTTAGTTTTTTGTGGTGAAGTGTACCTCAATAATTTTAGATCAAATAGTTGTCTTAGGAATAAACACTTAATTTTTGAGTTCAGCGCAGAAATATGCATTTGGCATGTATTTCAATATTTTGTCCAAAGTATGTAAAAGGAAAAATATTTTTTTATGCTTCGCAACCATTATGAATTATATGGGTTTGCTCCTAGCGGGACTCGAACCTCCCCCGGCATCCCGGACAAAAGAATTTTGAGAGCGTTTTCACTCGCCCTCTGCCATTTGGCTCTTGTTTCAAAGGCCTTTCGGAGCGAGGACTATTTAGCAGAGTTTCCGATCAAACTTTACGGTCGACTTTCTCGAAAACTAGGGCCCAGACGGAAAAATTGTTTTAGCTCTTACCGTTTTCGAATATGGAGAATCAGAATATACCGGTCCCATAGCTCAACTCATTTGCGATCTGAACGACTTCCCTTGTTAGAGATGGAAAGTGGATAGATTTTTTACATTGTACTAGGAGAATATTGATTACTTTGATAATTTTAGAAGCCATAAAGAATATTGAAAGCGATGAACGGATTACTTACAGCAGAAAAATCTTCGTACATCTGATTGACAGTCAACAGCTTTCCATTTTCATCATACCCAATAAGCCAGAGTCGCGGTACCTAAAAGTGGCATGAGTAATATAAGTTCATCATCGAAATTGATAGAATGCAAGATTAAAAATTAAACAGTAGATCCGCAAAGAATCTTTCAGTTCTACTTTTTTGGACAGCACACAATAATATGCCCTCACCTGATAATATTTGTCGTAACTGATGTGTAAATCGTAAGTCCTCGTCTTCACCACATGGTCGTCACCAGCCTCGTCCGCCACAGCTTCGGGTTGATAACAGTTGGGATCATTCTCCTCAAAATCACCATTTTCCATGAAGTTGTCCATATCCATTGGAGGAGCATCTTCGTCGTCATCATCTTCATCATGCTGCCCTTGAACTTGAGGTTCTTTAGCAACTTCCTCGGCTGATACGGATTCTTCCGTCGCCTCAGGAGCATAATGATGCGTATCCACCCATTCGTCATTTCCATCGTCGTCTTTTATAACCTAAAATTTGATGAATTTACATTGAAAATTCAAGCTAATGTATCAAGGAAACTCTTGGAGTGAATCTCACAAATTTATGCGCTACAAGCCGTGTCTACAAAACAATCCCCAGAAAAAACTCTAAACGCCAAGAACAACATAAAAAATTAAACGTACCAGCTCCATTTTGGGATCATATTGCATGTGTGCGCATCTCCGATGGCAAGGGACCCGTTTCGTAATTAGAAATTGTTTGTCAGCCGGTAAGTACTCTCTCGTCCTAGAAACAGAGATCAATTATATTAACCATGACCTCTTGAACCCACCGACTTGAATCTCCGGCCTTGGACCATGCCCAGGTGGGGCAAAGATGGACCAGATGATCACCTGCCGCTACGAACTCTTCTGGCGTGAGGACTCCGGTTTCGCGGAACTTGGACTGCTTCAGAACAGGGGTCAGCATCTCGCCCACGCTGAGAGCGGCGCTTTTCATCGAGTTGACCAGGTTCTCCATGACTAACTAGGACCCCTATGATCGAGGTATCTGACTCTCACGTGAATAAAAAGGGCAAGCTTTTTATTTGCGGAATTTGCAGAACGCCAAAACTTTTAGCATTCAAAGTTTTCGCGGTTTTCCTTTTTTCTACCGTAATATAATCATCCAAAGTAAAAATCTTTATCAACAAATAACAAATACAGCTAGTAAAAAGGCAGGCTCATTCATTATCTTCAAGTTCTTTGAGGTCAACTTCTTCATCTAGTACAACATCATCTTCCATCTCGGTTCGCTTGGATCTCCCATAATTCATAGGCGCAGAGTAATCTGGGACAATTCTAGTGCCTTTCGAAGAAGGTTGGACCTTGTCAATGTCATTTTGACTCGATGCAAGTTCTTCTTTTTCCATTTTTTCTTCCTGAAAAGAGATAATTTCAATGTAGATAAAAAAAATTTAATTTTTCCATAAAAAAATTAACAGATTTAGCGTCAAACTCATATCTAAATATACCGGTGCTTACCTGCTTTCTGTATTCTTTTAGAAACACATCCAATTCATTTTCCCACATCATTCGCCAATCTTCTCCTTGAATTCGCTTCAAATCCTTTGATTTTTGGGCTTTTTCTTTTTCCAATCGGGTCATTTCCTCATCGGAGATCTTCCAAAAGTTCATTCCGAGGACATAATCAAAGTAGGAGGTGGCATCCTTATTCTAAACGCTGTTTTAGTCAATATTTCGTGTATTTACCTCCTCTTCCTCATCTTCTTCCTGTTTCCTCTGATGTTTCCAAGATTTTACGGGGTCCGCGTCGAATCCTTGCGCCTTCAAAAGCTGTATCAGCTCAGCTTTGGGTTTTCTCTCCAATTTTGATGTGTTTTCCAGCCTCATTCTCATGAATTTGAGCTGATTTTCGACTTTTTTCTTTTCGGCCGCAATCATCTCCATCAAAAATTCCCTCCTTTTTTCGTAAAATTCTTTTCGAATTTCAAAGAATTCTCTTAGGATCTCCTCAACAGAGTCGTAGAATCGGATTCGATTGTCCGCGTCGAACAAGACCATCGAATTTAGAGACATCATCGACCTGAGACGGAAAACTTTATGTAACCCGATCTTGCGGGCCTTGAACAATTTCTTTGTATTCATCCTAACCACAAATTTTACACTGCTTTCGGTGTGGTATTCCTTGAACGACTCGATAATATTGTCTTTGAGCATTTGTTCTAGCACCTGGAATACCAATATGATCAAAAATATTGATCATAAACATCAAAAACCTTGTTCAATTTTAGAGCCATACTCACCTGCTCTTTGTAGACTTGAGTCCACACCTTCACTGGGAGTTCCGTGATCTCAACCGAGCTGTTGGTGATCTTCTTTATCTCGCCGTACGAGATAAATCTTCGATCATTCATCTTGTACATGGTCCCTTTGAAGTTTTTGAACCATGGTTCCATCGGGATTGTTGGTTCTTGTCGGATAATCCTTTTCAGATTGTTTACAACGTCTTCCGGTCGATAATTCGGGATTTTGGAGCACCAACCGGTGCCAATTCCCAGGGTTCCATTGATCAGTACCAAGGGTAATATCGGGGCGTACCAAATAGGCTCAGCTATCATGTCGACATCGAATCTGGGCTAAAATTTCGTGATTTAGGAACTATTTTCTCTTCACAGGGGACTCGGATTTACTTATATGTACGTCTTTTTTACTTATATGAAATTGAAGTTCATACAGGGTGTTCCAAGAATTATGGAAAAAACTATTCGTTAATAACTTTGTGCTCGGTGGTCCAATCCGAAAAATTCTTTTTGCGTTTTGCAGAAAACCCTTGGAGTTTTTAAAATCAAAAAAGATTTTTTCGTTTTATCGGCGGAGACTTCCGTAATCCGCCTTGAATTCGGCGGAGTGCTTTTTTTCACAAACGAGGCTATAAAATGGGTTCATTTTTTTCTCCGCCGATTTCTCCGCCGAATTGCCTTTTTTTCTTCTCTCAGTAGGCCGAAGACGTAATAAGTCGTATTTAGGCGCCATGCCACCAGGAATACCTATGTTTTGGTTTTAGCCAATTTTGACTCTCAAAAGTCGAAGAAAAATCGTCCGCCGAGGTTAAAAAATGTCTCCGCCGAATGAAAAAAATTTGAAACAAATGTCATATTGTATCTATTGAATCCTCTCCCGCCCATTTACTTCACACATACAACAATTTGCAACCTCGTTTGTGAAAAAAGCATTACCGGAGTCTCCGCCGATCAAAGAAAAAAATTTTTCTTGATTCTAAAAACTCAAAGGTTTTCCTGTAAGATGCAAAAAAAATTTTTTGGATTGGACCACCGAGCACAAAGTTATTAATGAATAGTTTTTTCCATAATTCTAGGAACACCCTGTATAAGTAAATAAACGTACATATAAGTAAATAATTGTACATATAAGTAATTCTGAAATTACTTATATGTAAACTTTATTTTCGGCGCGCTCCGAATTTACTTATATTTACAAATAAGGATATTTTACTTATATTTACCAATAAGGATATTTTACTTATTTGTAACCCAGAATTACGCACAGTGCAGATTATATTATAAACGTTTATTTCGATTCTCAAAAACGACAAATACAAGTCGGTAACGCATCTTGTGTGCTCCGGATAGGTTTCTCATCTGTTGTTGTCCTCATGAGGCATCAATTGCTTATTTTCGGGATCTTCTATGGCGATTTCTGCGTCTGGATTCACTGAAAATAGCAAAAATAAAGAAGATAAGGTCGTTTGACGATATTTACTATAAGCCCTTCTCAATTGTTTGTGCTTCTGCACCCCGAAAAAATTAGTTTTAGGTTCACCAAGTTTGCCAATGAAATTTCGAGACACCAAGTTTGTCATGTTGCACTAGGTCCAGGTGAATATTCTCAACATACCTGAATCATCCGAGTGCCATTTTTCCGGGATCGTGTGTACATTGTCCATTTACTACCCTCCACGGCCAATTTTTCGATAATCTGAAACCTAGAGGCTTCACCTGGACCTAGTACAACATAGCAAAACTATGTCTGGAAAAATCTTTGGTTTTATGAAATGTGAAAACAGTTAAAAAACACCTACCATTTGAGCACACAGTTGTTCATCCAAATTCTTTCCTCATAGTGCTTGTTCATAGATTTTTGCGAACTGCGTGAAGTTTGACGTTGACATGCTCCATGCTCGGGAAGGTTCTCGCGTTCGCAACTTTTGATCTGAGCACTCTGTTACCCTGTAAAAGAAAAAAACTGACTACAAACAACTTACTTTATTCGATCCAAGGTTGAGATACGTTCTTTGACGCTCCAAAAACTTAGAATTTTTCCAAGTCCGGCCAACGCGTGCAGAAACCAAAAAGCGTCTTTGACGCTCAAAAGTTTTCTTTTCGAGGCTCATATATGTACATATAAGTAAAAATAAACGAGCTCCGCCGTTTTTTACATATAAGTACCGCTATTTGTAAATATAAGTAAATAAACGTAAATATAAGTAAAAATAAATAAGCCCCGCCTTTTTTAACTTATATGTAAGTTATTGGTAAATATAAGTAAAAAATTTTACTTATAAGTAAATCCGAGTCCCCTGTGTTATTTACCCAACTATTTTCAAAATTCCTTGGTCCCACCACAAAAACACTCAAATTTTGCCCTTACCTGCAACAGATGATCATCAATTTGTGGGAAAATCAGCCTCGTCAATGGGTTTAGCTGGGTGTATAGATATCTCGGCGAGGCGGAGTCTTTTCCTCCTTCCAATCGGGTTCCAAATTGGCCATGGGGAAGGAGAAGAGAGATGTTATTGGAACCCACGAAATTCTGGGCCATCTGGACTACGGCTTCCATTAGGGCTTTCTGAAGTCGTAAAAAGGCGTAAAGATGAGACTTACATCTCCGTGATGGTAGGCGGTGATCTCTCCGACAGCACTGGCCAATTGTAAAACCCGCAGTTGCTTCTTGTCATAGCGCTTGAAGCAGGTGTACAGGACCTGGAAAAATTTTTGATGAAGCAATATATTGCCATGACTGGTCATTAGAAGCATATTTCTTACATTAATTCAGCTCCTTTTCTCATATTTTTTTTATTATATCAGTCTCAATGTAACCTACCTTTCTCTGCACCGGTTTGAGTCCATCCACAATACTGGGAATATTTCTAACATTGTCCGCATTCGAGAACACCACCAATTCTTTGTTCACAAACTCGGAAAAGGTCAACGATCTGATATCCGGATCATAAATAACATCCTCGGGCTCTTCGGCAATCTCTCTGGACTTCTTTTTGTTCATCCAATCCGTGATCCACGCCTTCCGGTCTTCGATGCGGTATTTGGAAAAGGCCAAATCAAGGTTTTCGTCATCCTGGGGACCCGAATATTCGAATTGAATTTGATGTCTTTGGAGGTCGCCAAAGTATTCCTTGGCTTCTTTTGAAGTCGACGTGCCAAGACCTGTAAAATACTGGGAGTGAAAACGAAATTTATAAACGATTTCATTGGTCTTTTCAGAGATGATGAAAAAACGATCTTTTTCATAAAAAAAATTAATATCCTCAGGGCAAATTCCCCAATTTTCTCAAAATTTGACCTACACACTCTGCAAGGGACCTAAATAAATTCCTGAAAATTTTAGCTCAAATCAGTGACTCCCAACATCCAAATTCATATTCTCCTTGCCTTTGTAATACTTGATTTTATATCCGCTCCAATCCTCATTATTTTCTCTCCATTGGAGGTACTGAGCAATCGAGTAGAATGCGATCACCTCATTTCCTTTTCTTGCTTTGATCACGGGTGTTATGAACTGCTCGATAAAATTATGTTTCAAAAGTTCCGGCCAGTTATGATGGATAAAATTAATGATTAATCCTTTGATATGGCTACCGTCCTCATCCTAAACACGTGAAAATTAGTCAGCCCGTTAGTCAAAAACCGCATTAAATTTTTTTTGGATGACTTACCTGATCAGTCATGATCATGATTTTCCCATACCTGAGATTGCTACGTTCTTCCTCGCTTTCGTATGTCCTTTTATATTCTAATCCAAGGATTTTGATGAGGGAATTAACTTCCGAGTTCTCCAAAACTTGTTTGTATCCACCTTTCCGCACATTCAGCATTTTTCCCTGGAATTATGGGAAATTTGAAAAAATCGGACACAAGTTAGTTCGCACTTGAAGAAAAAATTTAAAATTATGTCAAAAAATCTCGAAAATCATAGTTAAATCCCTTTACACTCATTAGAAACCGACCAAACTTCACTAAATTTAGCCAAGGACCCACAAAATCTAAAAAAAAAAAAAAATTCTACAGGGTGTTTCAAGAAATTTGGAAGAAACTAGTTGCGAATATTTTTGAGCTCTTGCTAGTTATCGCAGAAATTCTTTTTGTTTCTAAAACTTGACAGCGGGCGGTTTTGTACTGAACAAAAAAAAATTTTTTTTCGTCGGCGGAGAGGCCAGTTCTCGGCGGAGGCATTTGGGGCCTTTTTTAAAAATCACACCTTATTACATCGTGGAAACTCTGTTACAGTGGCCAAAATCATGTTTACGTTAAACCTCCGTGGATTTTGCGGTATGCTTTTTTTGTTTTCGATTTTCGCTCATCCGCGGAGGCACGGCGGAGACCTCAGGTTTCGGCGGACGTCGTTTTGAGCCTTTGGATCATTCAATTCAGGTTGGAAAAAAGTGTGGGGTGATTTTTTGTTGTCACCCGATGCACAGATGCAAAAATTTCGCACTTTTTTTCCCCGGCGGAGGATTCGGCGGAGGCTTTATCAAAGGGTCAGAACAGTCTTAGGAGCCCGGGAAAAAACTCAGCTACAAGAATCCATCACAGCAACACCATTTTTCTTATTTTTTTGATCCGGCGGACACATCGGCGGAGGCTTTATCAAAAGAGTCAAAATTTTGTTTTGACCCTTTGAGAAAGCCTCCGCCGAATCCTCCGCCGGGGGAAAAAAGTACAAAATTTTTGCCCTCTGTGCATCGGATGACAACAAAAAATCGCCCCAACCTTTTTTCCAACATGGATTTGCAAAAACCGAGTGCCCAAAACAAAGTCCGCCGAAATCTGCGGTCTCCGTCGCGCCTCCGCGGATGTTGCGTAAAATCGAAAACGCAAAAAAAGCATACCGCAAAATCCACGGAGGTTTAACGTAAACATGATTTTGGCCACTGTAACAGAGTTTCCACGATGTAATAAGGTGTGATTTTTAAAAAAGGCCCCAAATGCGCCGCCGAGAACTGGCCTCTCCGCCGACGAAAAAATTTTTTTTTTTGTTCAGTACAAAACCGCCCGCTGTCAAGTTTTAGAAACAAAAAGAATTTCTGCGATAACTAGCAAGAGCTCAAAAATATTCGCAACTAGTTTCTTCCAAATTTCTTGAAACACCCTGTACATCCCAAGCCTCCCTTACCTTCAAAGGAAACACTCCATACTTGTCCTGTCCGATGACACTGAGTCCAGCGATTGCCAAGGACTTGGCCGAATCCCCTTCCGTCAATATCAATGTGCATTTGGAGGACTTGGAAGTCCCTGCTTCATTGGCGTCCACCAGTTTGGGGACCTCGATCTGAGGTGTTCGGACATACGTGTTGGCCTTCTCGTACTTCTCCAGCTGTTTCTGTTTGGCCAATGTGGCCGAGGCTTCGACAATTCCGGCCGAGAGGAGCTGAAATCATCGGAATTAGTTCAAGGTAACATAATGACGTAAAAGTCGAATTTTTTTATGCTTTCAGCCAATCAACCTCTAGTTTCTGCAAAACGCAAAGTAAAATTTTTCGATTTTACCGAGTTTCTCCCCAATTCCCACCTTTTTTATGAATCCAGAAGTCGGTTTCCACTCGGATCCGAACAGCTTCGGCTTCGTTGTGAGCGTTTCCTTGGTCTGCGAATCAAAAGCGGGGTTTTCGATGAGTGAGTTCACAAACACAAATAAATTATTTTTGATCTGATGCGCCTTCAATTGGATGCCTTGTTTCCGAAGACGGGGATGGATCTCGGTCATCAGGCAATCCACAATCTGATCCACAACGAAGTCAACATGTCTTCCGCCTCTCAATGTCCACACCGAGTTCACGAACGACATCTGTTGAAAGCCTTTGTTCGAGACGCCGACGCCGATTTGCCAGCGGCGATTTTGATCAAAAATGAATTTAGTTTTGGTTGGACCTTCGGTGGAGAAGAGATCCATGTAATCTGGGAAGTTATTCACCTGAAACGAGGCAAAACTTTAAACAAAAAAATAAAAATCGGCCTAAAAAAGGTCAGAATAGTTAAATACGACACAATACTGACCTTAATCGTTTCTAAAATGCCTTTATTGTGAAGGTTTATGTCATAAGAGACCCAAATTTTTCTTCAAACGAAAAAAAAAACAAAAATTTGCAAAAAATAATTCCAAAATCACCATTTTTTGCCGAAAATAAGGTCAAAAACCCCAAATCATCACTAAAACAGCCTCAAATACCTTTCAAAATCTCATTCCAGAACAATTACTTACTGGCAACAACTCTCCATTCAAAAACACCTTGACCCCCCGAGTTGTGGCCGATATATCCAACGCCCTTCTACTCATCAGCCCAATAATTTCATGGTCCAATGACTTCATTCCAAACTTTTGAAGATCCGGTGTGAAGGTGACTTTTGTAAAGTCTTCTGACTTGGCCACATCAATTTGAGGTTCACTAGTTGAGGTCATATTATCCGTCCAGGTCTGGAATAATAAAATTAACCGTTGCATTTCGAGAAATTTCCTTAAAGATGTCATCGTATTTTACCTGTTTGAAGCTTTTTCCATTTTGAATATAACTCGTCTCCAGTGTGAACTCCTTGCTAAAAATATTGCACAGTTTCGCTCCGAACCCGTTTCTCCCGCCAGTTGTTTTTCTGTCGCTGTCATTGTAATTTGATGAGGTCAGGAGCGTGCCGAAGATCAGTTCCGGGACATACATTTTCTCCTGTTTATGCCAAACCACCGGGATTCCTCGGCCATTGTTCATTATGGATATGCGATTCTCTTGACTAAAACAGAATAAGACCCTCGCAAAAGAGCTTACCGATCAATTTGAACCTCAATTTTGCTCATTCTCTTATCCCTTCGACGATTATCCGCGGCATTCACCAAAATCTCATCGAAAATCTTGTATAAACCTGGGACGAAGCTGATTGGCTGATGGATCAATCGTTTTTCGGAGGCATCATAGATCCACATTGGCTGGAAAAAACAGTTGATTAAATTTTTCAACCAAAAAATCGTCAATTTTATAAATTTCCCGCACAGTGCACTCACAGTTCGATCGCAGAATTCCACAGAGCCGATATAAGTGTCGGGCCTCAAAAGTATATGTTCCAGCTGTGTTTTGCGTTGAAACTGTTGCTCCACTGGCTGAAACACATCCTTTTCGTCCACGATCTCTTCACCGAATTCTTCGTCATGTTGAAATCTTCGAGGTATGTAAATTTGAGATTGCACTGTGCATTTGTATGAACTAAAACAACATTTTTTAAAAAAAAAGTCAACTCAGATTGTAAATTATTATTAGGTTGAGTCAAAATTATCCGGCGGTTTTATTGGCGCTTTTTATGTAAGTTAAAATTTGCGTTTTGTTAATGTTTTTTTAATAAAAATTATCTTTACTATTCAGTTAATAAAATGTGTTTCGAAAACCATACTCTTATCCGCCGTATTATGCTCTACCATTTCGAGAAAAGTTGGAAGTCGGCACAGTCATTTCGCGATCTCAACGAACTTTTCGGCGAAGGAAAAAAATCGGCAGGTGTTTCGTCCAAAGGAGTACCAAAAGACGTCCACTGTAAGAAGGCTACGTGGTATGTGTGGTGGGACAGAAGCGGAATCATCCACTGGGAAATCGTGTCTATTTTTTGTTCCTTCGCCGAAAAGTTCGTTGAGATCGCGGAATGACCGTGCTGACTTCCAACTTTTCTCGAAGTGGTAGAGCATAATGTGGCAAATATGAGTATGGGTTTCGACTGCCATTTTATTAACCAACCAGAGAAGATTATTTTTATAAAAAAAATATTAACAAAACATAAATTTTAACTTACAAAAAACGCGCCAATAAAACCGCCGGATAATTTTGACTCAACCTAATACTTCCCCTTCCACTAGATACAAAAACCAACAAAAATTAATCATAAAAACTTACAAATTAGAAAGAAATTTACGAAAAAATAAGGAATTTCGAAGCATTTTTCCGTTTTCTGGGCATCGGTAATAACATTGATGTATTTTATTCCACGTCAGATGTCCTTAAGCCCATAACAACCTCAAACGAATTTATTAACATCCAAAAATTACAGTAATCCTTGACTACAAACATTGACTCAACTTTCTGTACACACCGAACGTTATTTATTAGTTATTTCAATGATCAACATTCTCAACAATCGTAATTAGAGGTTTTTGGTAGGACCTGACTTAAATTTAATTACAGCTTCAAATACATGCATAACAAATGACTCAAAATGGTGTAGATCATGGGGAAATGGGTGAGATGAGAGGGCTACTATAGTAATCGATGCTCCACCTTCTCGAAAAAGTGGACTCGGTTCGATTCTTTCACGTAAATCACTGAAAATAATCAAAATTAGTCGACTAATACCAAGTATAATATAAAAAAAATTGTGAAAATTCTTTTCTGAGCCTCTTAGTTTATCTTCAACGTCGTCACTATACGACACAAATTCTATTTATCAAATTTCAGCAAAATCCTAAGAAAAAATGATATTATAATACACATTACCATGGGGATTGATAGCATCAAATTTTGTTTGTAATTGTTGATCATCGTGTAGTTGTGAGAAAAGGCGAGGAATCAGTGACCGTCGTTCTGTTTCTGTCATATAGGACTGCAAAGGCATCAACCCGGAGACCAGACAATATCGGTCCGCCTGCTGATCTGTTATCGATTTTTTCGGCAGTATCGACACCAACAAAGGTTTCTTGATTCGATAACTCCTTCGTATCTAAAGTCAAAAGTCAATAATAAAAAAAAACTTACCGATGCGAATATCCTTAGAGCGAGCATCATGAATAAGTTGAGACAGTGGCTGGAGATCAACAAGTACTCTGATTCCGGGACTTCTGGTACATACAACGCGTAAAAAGTATTCGTATTTAGGAATAACGACTGCCTCATGCAATCATATGCCAGTTGGGTGATGCTCTCGAGGGTTTTCTGATATTGTACAAGGGCCTGCTCGGTTTCATTTGAATTGCCGCCATGTCGCCAGATGGTTCGCTTCACGAAATCCATCGTGTCGAAGAACCGTGACCTGAAGTCATCTTGTTTCGGGCCTATGTCCATTCGAAGGGCTGTGAGTCTTGCGTAATCCGCAGAACTATAATCCCGGGAGAAGGCGAAATGGGAGAAAAAGGTGGCAAACGGGGCTCCAATGGCAGTCAGTTCCTTCTCCATGATGTTAAAGATCTCCTGTCGTCGATCCGTCGCTATGGAGGTATAATTGGCATTCACTTCGCTCAAAGGGATACTAAAATTACAAACAATATGAGTCAAATCATATTGTAAGACAAGTTTGATAAAAAAATCATCTAAAAAATAACTAACCCCAACTTGGCATACGTCTCTCTGAGTTTATGTGCGCCTTGTTGAGTCCATAACCGACAAGATGAAATAAAGTTGATGTCATGAATAACACTCTGATGCAGAGTCCAATGACTATATAAGGGAAGGGAGAGCCTAAAAACAAAATCAAAGCAGATCAAACCAACTCACTCTTTATTGAAAGATATCCTCAAGGTAGAATCGTTTTTGACATGCGTCCTGGGGGCATATAGGCGAGTAAATGTCCGCATGGCCTCCACACAAATACCCGTATAAGTCTGCGTGGATATAAAATTCTCGACGTGATAGTGGGTAAGGGCTATACAGGCGCACCAACTGAGCTCAGCGCTGGACTTACCCAAGGAATGAGCCAGTTGGAGCATCAGAACGGCACTCTGAAAATATTTTGTTATAAAATGGAAAGTGATACCTAAAATAATATTAATTTTGTTATATTCGACCGGGTTCGGATGACCATACAACCCTAGTAAGATCCAAATTATCCAAAAATTTAACGCCAAGGCAAACTTTTTATATAATACATGCTCACCGGATATTCCACATAACTTTTGACTGTATATTCCCAAATTAATCGCTCCCTTGTCTGCTCCCACAGTTCTTTGTTCCGTTTCCGTATCGACCTCAAGGCTACTCTAGACACTTCTCGATTCTCAACATCTTCTTCATCTTCTGAATCGTCTTCATTCATATCGACAACAGACTCCACCGACGGAAGATTCCAACTCTCAATTTCCGCTGTTCGACATATGACTTTGACAACCTGATTGGCGAAAACATTGGCAAGATCAATCGGTCGCTGGGAGTCGAAGACAAAAATCTCTAACTAACATATAACAGTTATACTAGACTCGTCCAGCTTACTCCCTCAATATTATAATCCAAAAGTGACCGGAAGCCTCCACAATTGATGAGAACAAAGAGAGGTGAGCTCCGTCGGAATACATTTAACGTCTCTTCTAACTCACTCCAATTTTTTATGATTACTAATGAATAAATTACCTCGTCTCGTTCAAGTAGGTCCTAAAATCAGATAAAATAAACGTAACACTGCTTACTGTAAGTATCACCGACGTGCAGAGCGCATCGAGATCGTGGTTGGCCACCAGAATAACATTCTGAAACAAATCTTTAATCAATTTAGCAAGGATTAAAGGCTTTTTGCTTAAAACGCATCTTCATTGTTACCTAAAATGCAAAACTTTGAAGGCCATAAAAAATACCTGTTGAGAGTCGAGAATCCGTTTGTAAAAGTTCTCCTTGAGGTCCTCATGGATAAGCATCCGCCCGTTTTCGCGCAATGGCTGACCTTGGAACCCTGGAAGCAATTTGCATATAAGTCAATAAAGCTGATGTGAAACACTCTTTTGTGTTCGGATTACGGGCCCGAGGTGAGATCGTTCTTTTTCAAGGACATCTCGGACCTTATTTTTCGCCACCTTCTTTTCTTTCGCGCCAATTTTTATTCTTCTTTTGCACTGCATTATTATTTTAGTCCCACAGCGACTTCCCCTGAGGCCTCTGGCATTCCGCTATAAGACGAGATTTTTTCTCGATCTCCCGAATGTAGAAGTTTCACATTGTTTTTGATTTTTTGGAGGTATATTTGGGATTTTTGGTAGTTTATCTTTATATACGTCGCTTTAATAGATGTCTGATTATATTATAGATGAACAAAACAAGTTATAATTTTATTTCCAGCCGAAATGGTCGTCGGAAAGGTCGTGGAACTTGCTAAATTCACCGGCGAGACCATCAAGGGTGCTGCCTTGGTCTTGAGCCGTCCCAATGATCCCATCCCCGAAACCAAGTTGCACCCGAGAATGCCTGCTCGACCACACACTCCTGGAGAATGGGTGAGATGCTTTACTTGTTTTGCTCTGTTTAGGAAGAAATCAAAAGAATTTTTGAGTTGGTTTTATCTTATTTCAACAATGAATTTATTTAAATTTTCAGTTCCGAATGTTGTCATGGCGCCACATTTGGCAGAAAGTGCCAATTGCTCGTTTCTACGTGTACTCTGCCATTATCGTCTTCGGAGTGTTCAAATTCCTTGTCCCCAGTAAGTTTCCTTTCTTTTCTTTTTACATTTTAGAATAATGTCGTAATGTTTCATCGAGAAATGTTTGTTTCTTTACTTGATCATCTACTTGAATATGATTTTCTCGGCGTAATCCTCCAAATGTTTCAGTCAAGCCCCGCCATGTAATCATGTACAAGAAGGGTAAGGAGGACAGTCACCATCACGAAGTGGAGCACTGGTATGGCATCAGACAGAAGAAGCAGGACGCCCTTTACTGGAACAAGTACGATCCTCTCCGTGTTGAGGGCGCCGCTCCAGTTGGAGGTCATTAGATCAAGTTCTAGGAGTCAGCTCCAACTTTAATAGAGCTCTTTATACTGTTTTCTTCACGAAATAAATGAGGAATAGTTTCAAAGTTTCGTATTTTTATTTCCCCACCTTATCCATGCATTTTATTTGGGTCAAAGGTCGAAAAGAACATTTTCAAACAGAAATGACGCTATTTTTCACAATCCGTAAAAAAATTGTCGGATTCGTCATCGAATTTATTCCGATTTTGTATTCTATTGTCCCAATTTTCCCCTCCGGCAACTGAATAAACACCCGGGGCCTTGAAATATCCCGTTAAATTTAGCCCCTCTTCAATAAAATTGCGTGATCCCGCCGGAAAATGTGGTGTTTGGTACTGTTTTGCATCTTTTTGCAGAAAATCAAGGGGGAAATTATAATAACTGAAGAGAAATTGCCGGATTTATCAAAGGTTTACTTGAATTCCACACATGTTGTACATAAACGGCAGATTTATTATCTCTGTGGGACCTACCCCAGACAGTTCTACTCACTCTACCGTAAGTTCTAGGGTGTTTAGAGAAGACTTAATTTCATTATGGGATCAAATATTTCTTTGGTCAACTGAAAAACTACAATTTTATATTGCTTTAGCCTGTTATATAAGTGGAGATGCCAACTGTTCGAATGGTGGGAAAAAACTCGGAGTGGGCTGTACAATCGCTAATCAGTGTGTGGCCTATCATTCGGGACCTGTAGCCTGCATTAGTGGCTGCTGTTGCACCGTTCCCGGAACTCCAAATCGGGATGACACGGTTCCCAATGGATACGGTAGGGACTAAGCCAAAACAATTTTTAGATCTCTTATTTTGCAGGTGTTTGTCAAAACGGTCAGCTCAGCAAGGTGCGTTGTGCATTGCCCGAACACTGTCAACAAGGGCAACGATGTTTGAATGGACTTTGTTGCACGAATACTCAAGATGCATATAAAAGTAAGTCATGGTTTTGCATTTCAATCCAAAATTGTTTTAGCTGCCTGCGGCGGCGAATACTCGGTTGCTGAGTGCTCGACAACTCGGCAATGCACTCAAGGATACGTCTGTACCGGCTCCAATTTCTGCTGTCAATGTCCGGTGGGGAAAAGTTCGGGGAGATGCAATCAGGTAGGGAGATGATGTAGTTCAGGGGGTTTTTGAAATATTTTGGAAATAATTTGACGCTTTTTTGAAGGATCCTTGTGTATTTGGACCTTATTTTACATAAAAAAAGTTATCAGAAATTCAAAAATTTCTTTTATTTCTTTCATAAACCCAAAAAACAATTCTTTTCTCTAACAGGCCCTCCTCATTTTGCGCACTCTCTCGGTTGATTGAACGCCTTTGCGTTTTCTGCACATGGCAAGGTAAATTTTTTGATGATATAATATGAGACCTAAATAGAGTATGTATATCTGCCAAAATTGAAGAAAATCAAACGCTCCTTATGTTGTATTTGGGTTACTGTAACTTAAACAAAAATTTAAACTTTTCGCCCTAATTATTCCCAAAATTCAGGGCCGCTGTCCAGCCGGTTTCACTTGCCAAGCCAATGGCTGGTGTTGTGCCTCTTGTCCGAACAATGTCACTCCATATGGAGCTTGTCTCAATCAAAAATGTGGTGGTGGAAGACGATGCACCTCCGGAAATTTGTGCTGTTAATAACCGGTATGTACTAATAACTGCAGTAATAAACGTTTACTCGTTCAGGATAGCTTTTGAGTTGATTTTCACCGGTTTTTTTTATTCCAATCGCAAGTTCACGCCCGCAGGGCATTTGGCTTTTAAGGCGGCTTTTTTGGCGTCGCTGAGGGGATTCTCATGGAGATTGACTTGTTTGAGGTTGGGGAAGGCCTTGAAGAACTTGTTCTCGTCGATATCTGAAGGTTCAGACGTTAATCGTACTGTATTTTTGTTACAGAAAACTAAATTTTTATATTAAAAATTTTGTTAAAATAAGAGTGAAGACAGAAGATTTCGGAGGAAAATTTTGAAAATTTTTCGAATTCACTTTTTTTTGAAAAAGAGAGTAAAAATCGAGAAATTTTATGGGTCGGCGAGTAGGAATCGAAATAGCTTTCAAAATTTCCATTTTTGGAGTGAATTCCGAGTTTACTTTTTTTTTGCCTTTTTTTGGAGTAAACTCAGAATTTACTCGCCGAAGGTGCCGGCGAGTAAATCCAGAGTTTACGCCCGGGGAACAGTCGACCCCTGAGCGCAAAAATTTTTTTTTATTTGCGTTAGTAATTCGCGCCGAACTTTCGAAAAATTTTGCCGAATCCTGACTGGGAGGCTCCAGTCAGGATTCGCGGGGTTCCTGACTCTTCGTACAGTCAAAGCTTCCTGACTGTTGGTCCATTCAGGAATCCCGCGATTCTCGACTGGGTGAGGGGTCAATAACTGTTGACTAGGACGAAGAAATAGGGAAAAAAAACGAAGAGAACGAGAGAAACGCGCGCTATTTCGTGCTGTCTCTGCCTCTCAGCGCCTTCTTTCCGTTTCGCGCTCTCTCTTTTTCCAGAGAAAGAGCGAGAGAGCGCAAAAAAAGGAGAGAGAGAGCGAAAGAGCGGGAAACGAAGAGAAGGCGCAGAGAGGCAGAGAGAGCACGAAATAGCGCGCGTTTCTCTCGCTCTCTTCGTTTTTTCTCCCCGTTTCTTCGTCTCAGGTGACTGGGATGTCGATTTGAGGCCGCCCAGTCAAAAATATTCCTGACTGCGCGGGATTCCCGACTGGGAGGCTCCCAGTCAGGAATCTTCAAAAATTTTTCATAAGTTTGGCGCGAATTATTTACTAACGCGCCCGCCTTACGTCCTGGGTCATCTGTGCCTCTGTGATAGCTGAAGAAATAATTGGAAGCGAGCAAAACCCAGATTTACTCGCCGCCATTCGATTTCTCGGCCCCGGCGAGTAAACTCCCAGTTTACTCCCGAAAATCAAAATTTTTTCCAAATTTTGGAGTAAACTTCGTGTTTACTTTTTTTTCGGCATTTTTGGGAGTAAAAAAAAATTTTACTCCAAAATCGAAAAAAAAGTGAATTCGAAAAATTTTCAAAATTTTTCTCCGAAATCTTCTGTCTTCACTCTTAAATAATCTTATCAAAAAAATTTATATCCAAAATATCTAAAAATACTGACCGTCAATTGCATTTCCGCTTAAATCGAGCAGGACAATGTTCTCCAACTCCAGAAACGCATCGGGGATTGATTTTATCTGATTCTTGGCCAAATTAATTCCTTTCATCGTCTCCTTCCAGCCCACAATTTCCTCCGGAATCTCATCAATCTTGTTCCCTTCAAGATTCAAAACTAAAATTTGAAATTCAGCTCAATATTACCGTGGGGATTCACCTTCAAGTTCAGGCAATCGAATAATCATCTTTTTGGGGAATTTTTTGAGGTCATTCCCTTTGAGGCTGCACTTTGTGATCTCATATTCTTTGAGGACAAGGTAAATGGCGTCAGTAATGTACATGAGCGAGCATTCGGTAAGATCTGAAACTCCTCGTGGTAAACTCTATAAATTTATATTGTACTTGAGGGTAACGGGATATGATGTAAAAAATCGCTTCTAAAATTGAGAAACCCTTCAGTAGTAGGTAAAATAAATACCGCAGTATGTCAGAAAATATTTTTCTTACCCAAAAATCCACTTGACTTTGCGCTTTCGCACCGATTCATCACTTGAGTCACCCCTTGACCAGCCGATGTCCAGGCGGATGTCATCGACGCATTTTGGGGCTTCATCCTAAACAAAAGGCACCTATTATTATTATAATATTTTAACAGCCTATTGAACTGTTAAAATTAACTAAATTCCCTCACCTGAACTGTTGTTTTTGATCGCCTTTCCTCCCCGAGAAAACAAAGCAAAAAAGAGCCGAGAAAAAGGGCCGGAAGGCCAGTTGGTGTGGATCAAAGGGATCCCCAGTGATCTCTTGTTCTCCCTCTCACATCACCCTTCTCGTCCTGAATGAGCCCACGCACGAGCGGATGACAAACCATTTTAAATTCGCAATGAATAACAAGATTTTTGGTGGGACTGTAAGGAAAATTTTTTTTTGTTTTGAAATACGACCATTGCTCCCCAAACCACAAAAAAGTATTCATCTTGTCAAAATATTCAAACTTTATTTATTTACAACAAAAAGTTGGGCCATACAAATATAAAATTGAGGATTGTATCCTTGAAAATGTAAGATCTTGTGAGTATTTGTCAAAAAATATCATTATGGACTCGAATTGAGCAAAAAATAAGCTGACTTCAAATATAACGACTAATTTTTTGGCATGCCTCCAAATTAGTCATCAATTTTTCATCAAGTAAAAATATGTGAGTAGGATGAGCTTAGTAGAAAATATGAAAGTGTGAGACCAACGTATTAACAATCCCCAAAAATCTGATAACCCCCATTCAAGGCAACATTACACTTGATCTACTGGCAGATGTAATAATCTCCGCTCTGCCTGCACACTCCAACTTTTTGGCAGTCTTTTCCATCACAGATGCGGTCTCCACTGCCCATGAAGATGTTCAGGAAGCCGCTGTTCTTGCAATACGCGTAGAAACGAGCTCCCGAGGCGACCTTGTAACGGAGGTTCAGCTGATTTTCCTGGACTGTGATCTGCTCCAAATCCAAGTTGATTTCGACTGCATGTCCTCCGTATCTGTCGGAAGCAATGCTGGCCAAAGTCTTGTTGGCGACAATGGGGAGCTCCTCGCCAGAGACGATCTTCTCCAGGCTTTCGAGACGATCCTTGGCCGATTTTTCGATGATGCTCATGATCCTCTTGACAAAGTTGTCGCAAAGCACACGATTCTCAATGTAGTGACAACGGGAGATCGAGCTGTAACCAAGAAGTTCGGCCAGGATCGACGAGTTGTAGAGCTTCTTTTCGACCTGAAAATGAAACGATTGAAGGTTGGAAATCCATCAGAAAGAGATACAAAGTGCTATTCAGGCCCAATAATCGCATGGACTTAACAAAAACATCTATAAATACCAACTTGATATAAAAATTTATGTTGTACATGAAGGCTAACATGTCAAAATTTTCATTGAAAAGAGAACTAAAAACGCCGTAATTTCTCTCACCAGCTTTGATAAGGTCGACAGTACCTATTCAAACATAAAATTTGCCTGACACGACATAAAAATAAAGCACTTACATCAATTCCGCGGCTGGAGATGAACTCCTCAACAAGGAATCGGAAACGTTCCTTTTCTTGCCTCAAAACTTTCTCAACAACCGGCGTCAAGTCGTTGTCCTCAACCAGCTCGCTGAGGTCCTCATCCAGCAACAGTTTGGGATCGAATTCGCTGAGAGAAAGGGTCAGATTCAGACCATGGTATTGCAATTCCTTGGCCCAAACATAATTCCTCTTCTCCTGGCATTCGAAAGCATTGGCAGCGAAGGGAAGAAGAATCAAAATCAGGAATTTGAGAGAGCGCATTGTGGCACGAGTGTTCTGCCGATAAATGAAGGTATTTCGGGGCTGAAAGATGGCCGTATATTATATTACACTTTAGGATAAACGCCGAGATAAAAACGCGCGCAAAAACAGGTGAACAGAGCAGAATGATTTGGCCTCTGCCTTCAGGAAATTGGAGCAAATGCCACTTTGTTCGCCGAACTCTGTCGACGAACTATGTTTCAACTGCGCCCTACAAATTTTCAAATTTCGTAATGAGAATCTTCGTATAAAATATCGCCCGCAGACTGCAAAGAAAAATCATCATTTCCAGTATGGGAAACGGGTAAAATTGATGTTCAATGTTTATTTAGACATTCAGAAAGTCTTTTAGATCTTCATTATCAAAATTGACTTCAAATTTTCCATATTCTCTGTGGATTCCACATAATTTTTCATGTTCAATGTGCAAAGAATAAGTTGGACCGGCTTTTCGCAGAGTTATCGGGTAATGAGAGCCCAGTTCAGCGTTGATTTTGGCGGAATAGACTTTGAGATCTTCTTCTTCGGAAGGTTTTCCCAACTTTTTCATTGATCTTTGAAATGCCTTCAGGGTATTCTCTGAAAAGTTTATAATTTAGAATTCATAATGCTAAAGTGTTCTCTAAAGGAGTCGAGCGGACTCGAAAGGCTTACTCATGGCCTCAGGACAGCATACGATCTCCGAATCTTTGGGTTGGTAGCAGTCTGACAGTCCAATCTTTTGATTTTCGGCGGCCCAGGGCTCTGTGAATTCGTCGGCCGAGAAAATTACTGCAATAATAGTTAGGAAAGTAAAGATTTTGAGTGAAAACATTATTAATAATGTCGAGGAGACTTCGGAATTTTCTGATAAACAATGAGGAAAATATAAAATTGAGCGCTTTGATTCGAAACGACCAAAAAGAACGCTTACTGCAACGATGGAGATCCGGTTTCATCCTCTGATTTTTGGAGTCACGTGACTCCGTGTGGCGGCTTCTTGAAATTCTCAGATTTCGACCAAAATTTGGCACAGAGGATGACTAAACTTTTGAAGAAAATATTCAAAGTTTTTAGCATTTTTACTTTCTGGTTTATTCAAATATTACCGATTACATTTTATATACAACTCTGAGTTCTAGAAGAGGAATGAGAACACGATGATCACAATGTACAAACAAGCCACGATCCCGTAGATGAGGTTGTTGAACACGTGCGCTACCCGACTGTAATGGCTGCTCTGCGAGTCCTCGGCGTCTTTGGTGGGCTGAGGAAGGGGAAGGACCGTCTCCACCAGGTCCACAATACGGTTGATAATGTTCGGAGGAGGGATGTTGGAGGTGGATTGGGAGAGACGCCGGAGGGCAAGGGAGGTGATGAATAGGATCGAGGTGATCGCCAAGTTGAACGCAGCGTAGGACACTGTAAGTAATCAGTATTATAAACAATCTGATCATAATTGTTATCAAAATAGGGCAGATTGTAATTCAGGGTGGGGCATCTTTGTGGCCCGATTTGAATTGGAACCGAAAAAATGAACTGCAAGAATAAATCCAATAACTGTAGATGACACGTATCAATGTATAACATATTTGGTATCAAACAAAATGGGGTTGTCTGAGGATTCAGGGAAAAAACGAATTTTAAGATTTGGCCAAAAACTAAAGAAGTTATAGGAAGTTCAAATCGGGTCACAAAGATGCCGCACCCTGTAATTTTTGGTCAAAAAATCGGATAAAAAGGAACGTTATCAAAAATAAACGCATAGATTTTGATGAAAAACAAGCGGCAAGCTAGCTGGAAAAGAAATCTGAAAGCCCCTAACTTACAAATCGTCGGAGTTGAGCTGCTGAAGTTTGGCAATCTGCTGTTTATCAAGATCAGCGACAGGATCTGAGTTCCAATAGAGAACGCCAACAATGTTGGCTGGACTTTGGACAATTGGAAGAAGATCGAGCTCAGCGTGATCAAGGTGTTCACCAAGGCCGGCAACAACATCTCTGCCACATAATAGACGGCGTTTCTCTTCAAGGTTACACAAAGCTCGCAGTTATTGGTCTGCACATCGAATGGATTCTTTTTCCAATCGCCGAGCACTTGGATCACATATTGACTGTCCTGAAGTGAGATGATATTAATAAACAACGTTAACAGACTTACTGTCAGTGTCATGTCTACAATATTCCACCCAGTAATGTGGGTTTCCGAGATGGCTTCATGACTCCTGTCCTTGACTTCTGGAGACACCTTGAACCTCACGGTGAAGTATCTTTTGTCATCGAATTTGTAGCAAATCTTTTGATAATCATTGGGGAAATCATTGTATTCAAAGTGATATGGGGCGGTGAAGCTGAAGTCCGACCACATGTAGACTTGGCCAGTGTAATTCGCGGCCAAAACTTTGCCTTGCACTGTGCCCGGCTGGGTGGAGGGACTGAAAAGCGTAAAGTTAGTTATTTGTGAACTACCGCAGACATGAGTTTTAAAAATGAAATCTTACGCGTTGATCTGCACCAGTTGAGGGGTCCAGATCTGAATCCAATAAAAGTTGAGCCAAGAAATTCCCCATTGATCCTTGTCCCAGGTGATCTTGGAGTCATTCCATGACATCACAAGCCGGCCAAAAACGCGGACCAATTGCCGCGATTCGTCCTGAAACGCATTCATTAATACTAGACCGTTCTACTACTCAACAATGTTTGTTAGAAAAGTTTTGCTTGTTTTCAACCTACAATCTCCACATGATTCAGACGAACGCTCTCAACTGTTACCAACTTTGTTACATTTTGAGTGGAGTTATCGTAATTTTGAGTGATTTGAGATCTCAATTTCCAAGCCTGATCACCTCCTTGGCAACTTTGACAGGAACGGCGGCAGTTGGACATCATCCTAAAAAAGGCGTCGATTCAAGCAATTATTGCCATTTTTGGGCGGGAAATACTTTGTTGCTGTCACAAAGATATGAAATATGTACAGTCAATGTCTTTACAACTAAAAGGGACAACAAAAATGTATTGGTTATAAAAAAATTGCGTTGAATCAAGATAAATTGGGGCCTCTGGAAGCGATCGTTATAGGGAGGCTTCGTTGTACTATCAGTCTGTCGGGAAAATAACGCCGAAATGTCGCAGCAGAATGTCTCGCCGCGCCGCTATCGCGCACCAAATCCCCAGCCGCGGCTTTCAGTCGCAGAGCGACGATGGGCGATTCCGAGGCGCGACGATCCGCCGTTATTTTTCCGACAGACTGATAGTGCTTGATTTAACAAGTTTCTACAACATTTTTATTATTCCCCTGCCCTTACCAAACGGCATTGCTTTGACATTCTCCTTGCGACGCCCATAATGGACATTTTGCATCTGAATCCACGCAATTCGAAACGTTGCTGGATTGGGCGTATACTGAAAGTTTCAAAATTTATGACCGTAAAATTAAGCATAATGCTTCTACTTTTTCATTCAACCACTGAAAAATCCTTACCATCGACAGCAAGAAGGCAGGCTAGAGCAGCAGAAAACGTCCAGCACACCGCCATGGTCGACTGCAAGGCCTAGCAACTAAAAAGTAAAACGAATCAGTAAAAACTTGTCACTGAACTAGTAAATATCAGGAGGAATAGAAAGGGGAAAACAATACTTATAAGAAAACACGCGTATATTCTATTTCAAAATGTATACGTTGTACAAAACAGTGTAAAGTGAAAGCTATAGCAAGAAACAGTAAAATCAATGTGTTTCCACAATGGTAACTTGTTTACAATCATTCGAAAAACCACTGCTTTCATCAGTAATCATTTTTAAGACGGCAATTTATCTCCGTTTACATCAAAGGCATCGCCTATAAAAAACCAAACAAAAACGGCTTTCTTCGGTCGAGAGGGCGCTTCTGAAGAGCCACGGCGTGAAAATTAACCGCAATTTGAATTAAAAAACGTCGCAGGAATGGACGCAACATCAGTTCTAGGTCATCCAGCAGACGTTGTAAGTTTATTAAGCGGTCGGAATATTCAGATTTGTCAAAAAAAAAACACCCTTGCCGATAAGCTCTCTTCCTGAAAGGTTTTTGTGAAAGAGCCGGAGTTCGATGGGATCCCGCCTCAGCGACTAAACGGCATCGAGATTCGCCCGAAACCGGCTCCTTTCCGCCTTCAGATTCCCGTTTCGATTCCAGTATTTCGACGCTTAATTTTATTGTCGCCCTTCCCGACTTCTCCATCAATAAAAGCCGTCGATGAAAAAATGAGAATAATTGCATAAAAAACAAGGGGGTCAGCCACAGTAATTAGACATGGTAAAGTCGAGGGAGGGGAAGAGGAAGTGGGGATGAGCGGAGATCAGATTATGGGATCCGCAAAAGTTTATTCACTGTACAGTTAGTCAACGTAGGAAAAGGAAAAACAAAATTTTCATATTTTACATCAGGAAGAAAGTGAAGTTCTTGTGGCATACGTTTGTCAATTCTATTATAAAAATACTGTTGTTAGAACATCTTTAGAGAGTGATCCGTGATAAGTCCAAAACAAATCTGTCCTCAACAACTTCTCTTCACTTGATCCCTCAATCCCTTAAAAGACGATTTTTGGCTCGCTGCGTCAGCCGCGGACATTCAAAAAATTTTTTTTTGAGTTTTTTAGCCTCAAATGTTGGTATAGGTCACTAAAACACATTCCCAAAATTTTTTTGCCCAGTGATGCCCGGAAGGTAGAAATTTGCATACGGTTATAACCGTCCTTCTGAGCTCTGCTGTTGCCGTCGCAATAAAGACAGCTTGACGAAACCGACACCATATAGGTTTTGGTGGATGGCGAATTTAAAAATCGCAATTTCAAGTTGGTAGGATTACTGTAACATACAGTTTTTGACCTTCGGTCGATAAAAATCGACCGTATCTCCTTCAAATCAAAAATCCCACAAGATTTTATTGCAGATTTGGAATCAGCGTAAAATTCTGGTCTAGGAACATGTAATTTGCATCCTTGATTCCGTGGCAGATAAATCATGGCGCAGTGGGTTTTGACGAAAACTAGTAATCTGACGACCCTGGTTCGATCCCCGCTGGAGACAAATATTGTAAAAAAGATGGAAATGACATTTAATGGAATTATGAGGGTTGTATGAGCAACGCTGAGTATTTTGAGACATCAATGGAACATGAATTTGAGGTTAAAACAGGATTTATATTATTTTAGTCTCGGAATCCGTGAAAAATAAAACTGCTTCAAACGGGCTGAAATTGATAACACTTATTCTAGGCCTAATTCTTAGAAACTTTTGCGTTAACTTTTTTTCGTTAGATTACTGTATCGTGGATTACGGTAACATAAAACCCAATTATGTTTTTTCATGCCACAAGGCGCAGAGCCATCGGAATATCACGAAGATTGTAGGAATGGTTAAGAACGAGTGGGCTTGCGCATTAATAGTTCGTTTATGGCCGTACGTTTTGAAATACCTGAGTTATCTGACACAATATCACCAATGGATGATGATATTAATTCACACTGAAAATGAGTTAAAATTGCATTTTAAATATGAGGCATGCCCGCTTTCTGCCGTTTGAATAATATAACCAAAAAAAATTTTTATTTTATTCGAAAATTTTGAGAAGCAATCGCCTTTAAGGAGGCCGAGCTTTTTGTTACCGTAATCCACGATACAGTAATCTAACAAGAAAAAGTTAACGTAAAAGTTTCTTAGAATTAGGCCTAGAATAGGTGTTATCAATTTCAGCCCGTTTGAAGCAGTTTTATTTTTCACGGATTCCGAGACTAAAATAATATCAACCCTGTTCTAACCTGAAATTCATGTTCCATTGATGTCTAAAAATACTCAGCGTAGCTCATACAACCCTCATAATTCCATTAAATGTCATTTCCATCTTTTTTACAATATTTGTCTCCAGCGGGGATCGAACCAGGGTCGTCAGATTACTAGTTTTCGTCAAAACCCACTGCGCCATGATTTATCTGCCACGGAATCAAGGATGGAAATTACATGTTCCTAGACCAGAATTTCACGCTGATTCCAAATCTGCAATAAAATCTTGTGGGATTTTTGATTTGAAGGAGCTACGGTCGATTTTTATCGACCGGAGATCAGAAACAGTATGTTACAGTAATCCTACCAACTTGAAATTGCGATTTTTGAATTCGCCGTCCCGCAAAACCTATATGTAGTCGGTTTCGTCAAGTTTTCTTTATTGCGACGGCAACAGCAGAGCTCAGAAGCACGGTAATATCCGTATGCAAATTTCCACCTTCCGGGCATTTCTGGGCAGAAAAATTTTGGGAATGTGTTTTAGTGACCTATACCAACATTTTAGGCCAAAAAACTCAAAAAAAGTTTTTTTGTATGTCCGGCCCCTCGTATTGGCTGACGCAGCGAGCCAGAAATCGTCTTTTAAATCTTCAACGTCATCCTTCTCACCTTACCTTACTATTGCGCAACTAACAGAAGAAGTACCCCAAGTGCGATGCACAGATTTTGATGAAACTTGGCACAAATTTAGAATAATTTTTTCTAAAATAAATTCTAGATTGCGCTTTGAAGAAACAACCGAGATTTTTAGATCGAAAGTCGGCGAAAATTTGAGACTTTTTGTCAAATTTCGGCACGAAAAGTTTCGTACCTATTTCTACCGTAAAGGGTAATAGTTCCACAAAAAATCAATTTTTTCCTCACGAAACTAGCAAAGTTATGGCCAGAAAGGGGTTTTCTCTCTTACCGTTCTCCGCGTTTAGCGTGCTCTCTCTGCGGCAAAGATCGTTCAAGATCTTGGTGGCGCTTACAAACGCTAAAACTTTTAGGAATTGATACTTAATCTATGCCCGAAATGTGCGCAAAATTTAAAGAAAATCTAGGGTATGTTCCTTGTAAATCATATCCTAAAATTTGATCTTCAAAGCCCCTCTAGCATAACCTGGAGCATCTCCCCTCCCCTCTTTCCTTTTGCAGGAAGTCCTAGAGGTTTATATAAACAACCGAGAACACATATCAAATTACTTCGGACCCCTTCTAGAAACACTTTATTTGACATTACACTGAGCAAAAAATAACTCAAAACAAAAAAGAAGAAGAAGAGAAGGTGACTCCAGGAAGAGTAAAAAATCAAATGCGGATTAGCTTTGGGGATCCGACGGATATTATTACTACAAAAGGAGACAAAAAGTTTAGAAGTGATTTATAAGAGGGCTTGGTTACTACGCAATTATTATACGATCCGTCTCTTGCAGAGTGCAGAAGTTTATTACTTTGGTTTGTACCAATATCCCCTTTATTTGACAAACAGAATATGTAATTTTAATAACAGTGTAATAAAGTTTACGAGGATCATGTTTAGTCGATTGGTAGACTGATCCTGGTTTTCCCAGTAAATCGATAGATGCCAATATTTGGCTCGACTTCTGAAGGCCCTCAGAGTCCAGCGCCGGCTTCACAAGGCATTGCCCAAGAGAAGTGACGGTGCTCAATCTTCGAGAAGAGACTGGGAATCATCTGGCAGCATAGAAAATCAAAGAAGAATCTCTAAAAATTCAATATTTAGTCGCGCCATAAAGTCCTGACAAATTTTGTCGCGGGTGTCGCGCGAGAAAAGTGGCAAGTTCGCGTGAAAGTGCATGTCGCTAATGCAAAAACGGGGAATTGCCGCGACGAGTGCGAAAGGAAAACAGAACGCACAGTGCAAATGTGTCAGGACTTTATGTCGCGACTAGTACTGTCCATCAAAGAACTTGTGTCCTTTTTGAATTTCTAGGCTGGTTATCAGTCTGTTGGGAAAATAACGGCGGATTGTCGCAGCAAAATGTCTCGCCTCGCCGCTATCGCGCACCAAATCCCCCGACAGACTGATATTTCGGCGTCGCGACACTTGCGGGCAACCACTTTGCGGGCAGCCGACATTTTATGATTAGAATTATGATTTCTCACTCGTAATCTACGTAGTACGATAGAAATTTTACAATGACAACTCCCTGGCACTGATAAGGCCACGAATTTGCTAAATTCATCCACTGCTTTCAAAGTTATGGGAGTTCGTTTTCAAAAGATGGTAAAAAATGCTTGGATAAGGTTATAGTAACTATTCAAGCCACTTATACGCCCGGAAACTTAATCCGCAGCATCTAGTTTGAATTTCCTGCTGTAAGCAAATGTTGGCCGATTTCAAAACATGCCCGCAGAATCTCCGTGGTTTTTCAAGCTGCCCGCAAAGTGGTTGCCCGCAAGTGTGGGCCCGCCGATATTTCTCAAAGCATGAATAGCCTTTTCATGTTCGAAAATAATCAAAAGGCGATTTGAATAAACTTGTAAGCGATCTCTCTTGCTTATCAGCGGCCCTTCCGCCCAACCATAGATCAGTTGGTAGAGCGGAGGACTGTAGTTGAAGCGGTGATCCTTAGGTCGCTGGTTCGAATCCGGCTGGTTGGAATTCCTTTTTTCTCCAATTTTTGCGTTTCAAAATAAAAGTCCAAGTGCCTTTCTATTTATGGATTTCATGTTTCGTGTTGGGAAACACTTTTTGGGGCCAATGAGCAGAAACGCAGTCAATTAAACGGTCTATTCCGAGACAAGATCGCCTGAATGGAAGTTTCGGTCATTCCAGATAAATGTCTTTACGAAATAAGGTTGTGCTGGTCACTGGTGCCTCGAAGGGCGTTGGAAAGGGGATTGCCGAGGAGTTTTGTGAGAACGGAGCTACTGTAATTGTAACTTCGAGGCCCGATGAGACAAAGAGCACCTTTTATTCGACCGACACTTTGGAGGAATTTGCGGAAAGAGTAAGCGGTTACCCCCACTTTAACGGGGATAAACACTCATACTTTACACCTTTAGATGTGTTCAATCTACACTGGAAAGTGTATTCCGATAAGATGTGATCATTCTAAGGAATCGGATGTCATCAATCTTTTCCAGACCATTGAAGATGGCTATGGGGGCATTGACATCTTGATTAATAATGTTTTTTCTGCCTCAATTGTAAGTCAACCTCTATAAATACACTTTTAACCCAGTATTGTTGTTAACGATCCTATTTACCGACCTTTTACAGACCTGCGCTCAAATCGCTGGCAAGAAATTTTACGAAATCCCAAAGCTTTATGAAGTTTTTGACGAGTTCTTCAATGTCGGACTCAAAAATCATCTGTTATGCAGCAGTCTGGCGGCTAAATTGATGATAAAAAATAAGACAAAAGGACTGATTGCGACAATTAGTAGTGAAGGAGGAGGGAAATACCTGTTCAACACGTTTTATGGCATTCAGAAGACAGCGGTAGGTTCATAATTACAGAGTAAAGTGAAGATTGTAGTGTGATCGGATGGCTGCTGACATTGCCCATGAACTGAAGGAGAAGAAAATCACATCTGTTTCGTTTTGGCCTGGCGCTGTGGCCACGGAAATGTACCACAACTTTTTGAGTAAAAGTCAGGACCCGGTAAGTGAGAAATGCAAGAAAAATGTTTTTAAAATACGGCTTATTTACAACAGACAAAATTTTTCTTTGATATACATAAATATATAAAAGAATAGACGCTAATCAGCCCCAAAAATGTTGGTTCCCACAAGAAAACAAGAAATCTGTAAGGAACTCGAACTTTTATTTTGAAAGAAAATTTTGGAAAAAGGGGTTCCAACCAGCCGGATTCGAACCAGCGACCTAAGGATCACCGCTTCAACTACAGTCCTCCGCTCTACCAACTGAGCTATGGTTGGGCGGAAGGGCCGCTGATAAGCAAGAGAGATCGCTTACAAGTTTATTCAAATCGCCTTTTGATTATTTTCAAACATGAAAAGGCTACTTTCGAGAACGAAAAGGTCTTGCTTTTTTATTGAAAAGTTAAGATTCAGCTGTATATTTATCATTTCTATGTATATACATACATATTTTATTCATGCTTTCAGGCGATTGTCGACCTCTTTTCGGAGATTGAGCACCCCCGCTTCGTTGGGAAATGTCTTGTGAAGTTGGTGCTGGACCCGGACGGTCTTCAGAAGTCGGGCCAAATATTGACATCCACCGATTTAGCGCGTGAATACGGATTAACCGACCAGTCAGGAAGTGGGTATTTTTAGGGCATACAAAAGCTAAGCCGAGCATCCTCTTCTTTCTGGAAAATCTTGACGGCTTACAGCTTTTTTGTAGCGATTAAGAAGGAAAAGTGCTCGAACTTAATCTGTCTTCTCTATTACAGATACCCCAAGCCGGCGTCAACATAAGGAGTGTGACGAATTCTTGAGCGCCGCGAATAAACTCAGACAGTGATTGGCCTTCAGTCTCGGCCAATTACAGACGATGCCAGAAAACTACTGTAGATTTATACAGTCTAAAAAAGTGTAAAATACGTACAAAATTTTTTTGGTTTATAAGATGATTTTCAGTTTTCACTTTATTAAAACTTATTATTAAGTAATAAATAAGAATAATTAAGAAGGATTACGGTATTTACACAGGGCAGAAACGGGAAGCCCGGCTGGCACCATAGGGCTTGGTCTGTTTTTGGAGGAACTGAAGCGATCTGCGTCTTCGTCCTCCGCCACAACAAGGGCAACCACCTGAAAATGTTTTTAAAATACGTTTGTGCTCCCTGCTGTTTGAATTTTTCAATTATCAGGTCATACTTTGATTAAAAAATGAAATATTTCCAAAACTTGCAGAAATTTTTCGTCCAAGCAATTATAATTTTTAATCTTGTTTTTGTCAATTCCCACCCACCAAAGGTCTAATCTCGGATTTTTAGAGCAAAACTTACAACAACATGGACATCCACCGCATCCACCGCAACAACAAGGGCAAGGACAACAGCCTGGTCGGACTGGCGACATCTTCACAACCAATGGCGGATTCACAGGCTGCATTGGAGTGCAGCATCCACAGCAGGGACAACAACCACAACAGCCGGCATCTACACTACGTAAGGCGATTAAAAGTAGAGGAAAAGCAACAATAATTAGTCTGTTGGTCATGATGAGCCGTCTGGACGTGCTGTGATCTCCCACTTTCGGCTTTAAATACCTCGATATAGCGACGCGCGCGACCGTGTTTTGTTGGTAAACACGCTGCGGTTGTTTCTGTTGTTTTTGGTCGCGCGGCTTCGGCTCCTTCCGACTGACCCACTGGTCTCTATTATGCGTCATTCCCAGGCCTTCAGCGATGTTTTTGGGAGCATTGTCAAAATTGTCGCTGCAAATTTCGAAAGAATTTTATGAATGACGAGGAATCCTTTGTTTTATTGCATTCAAAATCTTGCAGAAGATTTTGAGTTCTTCGCACAGTGCGACGAGGAATTCGCAACGTTCAAAAATGATGTCATTTTTAGAAAGAAAAAAAAAATCAAGTTTGATGTTTGAAACGAGCCTGATGGACCCGGAAAAGTTGCAATTGCTAATTAACATAATTTAATTGAACCCTCATCTTGACACAGGAGCATAAAAAGCCCGTAAAAAATCAGAAAATGATAGCATTTTATGTTTAGGCGCTAAATATTTTGTTGAATGTATTGGTTGGCTCTGCAAAGCGCAAGCCAAAACTTTCAGAAATTGATGTGTGGCCTAGACAAAATGTATTTGTAAGAGAAGCTATTTTATCATCGCTAGCAACATCTTCTTTTTACCGTACTTGTCTAAAATCCAAGTTGTCATCATTAATTAAATTTTGTGATTTGTAAGAAGCACTTCACAGAATTAATTACTCATTCCTTCAATCCGATTTATCGCTGTAATTACAAGTTTGGATTATGTTGACTTGCGTCTTCCAACTTGCCCAGTAAGTCTCATCTTCATTGAGACCGGGTTAATCACTCGTTTTCCATAATCATTTTTACACTGTAAAGGTCGTCGAAGAAAACCTATTTTAATCTGAATGTACGGTTAATACGCAACTATGTCACACATATAAATATCTACATATATGGAGAGGGATTAGGATAAGAAACGGGATTATTTCACGTCATCTAACTATACGAAAAGCAGTTGCGTAAATTATAGATTCCAAACGGGTTTGATGTCCATATTTGGAGGAGCTATGAGGCTTTTATGACAAAGGGAAAATGATATGTTGCAGATTGAAAAAAGAGGGATATAAAGAGAAAGAAACACTAGGTTGGACAAGGTTTGACGGTCAGGATTTGCAAGGGGAATTCTGGAGGTGCAGTCCTTAAGGGTTTTGACAATTTTGCTTAAATAATATAATAATAATAATGGATAATATATCAATTCCTGAGCGTTGAAAGCAAGAGATATCGGGCAATTTTTGCAGCTAATAGTGAGAGAGTACGGAAAATGAGGAGAAAAGGTGAAAGTAAAACGTTTTTTTGTCGATATCTTTGCGAAATTCATACAGTAAACATTGATTTTCCGCAGTGATATTGCTCGATACATGAGAAACAAAATGTCAATTGCTAATCTTGAAAATCTCGGAAATGACTTCCGAAACGAGCAGGCAAAAGTCTCGCATGTGACATAACAAGTAGCAAGCTCGAATCTGAATTTCTACCAAATTTCACAAAAATCCGAGCCTCTGACCTTTAGCAATTCCTCTCATCAGACAAATTTAAATTTTGATTTTTACTCTCTCCCCAATAAACTCCCACTCCAGACAATTTTTTTCAACCAGTAAGCCAATCATCCTAATTCTTTTTACAGCTTATTAATTGCTCCTCAATTTTCTGCAAACTCCAAATCAGCATATTAAGACTTGCATCCGGAATCCACAAGCATCAGATTATCTCGATGTTTTTGGACATTTCCATCCGGAAAAGCCAACGGAAAGTGCAGGTTTTCTCTTCGAAATTAATAAAATGTGGCGGAAATGGGGATGGTTTAAGGTAGCAGATTACATTTAGATGTACACAGCTGGGTGTATTTTGTTCTGGCGGATCAAAGTTTTGCAGAATTTTTGAATTTTTAAAAAATTTTCCAGCATGTGATAGTTCATTGGAGCCAAGATTTAAAGCTCACAAAATTTAAAGTGCTTTTGTGACCTCACGATCCCTGAATCCTGTTCCTAATTTTGTTCACAACCTCCAAGTATTACTTGAAAGTTCCGGTACATCAAAGAGATCTGGTAACACCGTGGAAAAGAGACCTTTTTTTTGTTCCTGAATTTGTTTATTCAATGCATAAAACGGGACCCTGATACATAATCTATAGTCTTGCCCTTGCCTTTGTTTTGTTTACCTTTTTGGAATCTCCGGGAATTTTGATGACATTAGAATCTTGACATTCAACCTAATACTAACTTCCCAAGAAACGGAAGAAGGCGGAGAGGTCCGGTCACGGACATTGGTGCCGTTTCAATGTGCGAAACTGGACACCTACACGGTTGTTGGCCTTCATTTCTGCGCTTTTTTGGGAAACACGAGACGGATCTTTGGACAATGAACGTTCTTTATAACGTGCGGCTATTTGCGTTCCGCGTCACATACGGTAAAAACAAGGGGAGGAAGTAGAGACGTGTGGCCAACGTTGTTTGGATGAGAATTCAAAAGTTGTAGCTGGTGAAAATGGATGTAGAACTTTTCTAGGGTTCATAGAAGAGATGACTAAACACAATCTTCGTATTTTTGCGTTTCATAAAATAAGGGTTGAGGTTTCTGTGACACGCAAAATTCTTGCTCTGGAATCTATGTTTTTGAAGACTTTCAGACAGAGCACCGCTTGGCAAGTTTTATACTTAATCTCCGGTGTTCAATAATCGCTAGATATCTTGAATGTAAGCTTTTCAGGTTTATAAAAACTCGAATTTAAATGTTGCGTCACCCACATCCATCTCGTCATAAAGCAGTATTCGATTTCATATAAATATTTATGTTTATTTGACCTTCGTACTGCCTGACCCACTCATCTTTAATGCTTACATTATGTAGATTTTTTGCCTAAATTTTTACTAACTGTCTATTTTCACTAACGTTTGGTTTTTTTCTAGCATTTGTAAGAGCTCCGTTAATGGGCCATTTCTAAATTCCAAGTTTTTCCGAGGGATTCAGACATCGGCAATGTAAAATTGCCCTGGAATTTATACGATGCGATTTTTGTTATCAGTTTTGTGAGGTTACAGTTAGCAAGTAACACAGTAATATTATGATAACAAGTAACGCAGCTATATATTATTAGTTGCTGTTATATAATTATGTGCGGACGACAATTTTTTTTTGATAAACATGGCAAGATTAGTTTTCGGAATACGGTAATCCAATCTACTTAGAACGGCGAAGTTACTAGTGACTCCATTTTAATAGATTGAGCGGATTAGAGTAATTGGTATCTTAAAATATAAATATCTGAAGCGTCATCTATGACGATAACAACTAGGAATTTAATTTTTGTATTAGAAATCCATATCTTATCCCAACCGGGGGATCGGTTGGGATAAGATAACGTTTAGAGAATGTCAAGGTGTCCGATTAGGGGATGTCTTGTAAAACTGGTACGATTCATAAGGCTTATACAAAAGTCTGTGATACCGGATAAAGAATGACGGGATAAAATCTTCATAGGACCTTGAAGATATCTGTAATATTGGAAGAGGTGTGTCTACTTTCAAGTATGCCTAGCATTGCATCTTATATGTTTGATGGTAAGGGTAAGATAACTTGCCAAAGCATGATGCTTTCGTCGTCAAATTATGAGTTCATCTTATTGATGAAATCAATTTAATTTATTAGTTCCAGTTATGCAGGAAATGAAGAAATTCTCAGCTTTACGAAGAACTTGATGTCACGGTTTTGCCGTAACTTCCGTTGACCAGTCCCCGGCACGTAGGCTGTTTGTAGACCATGACGCTCCCACGCTAAAAGGAAAAACAACTAATATTTTAATATTTGGATTTGTTTGATGCATATATGCGACACCAAATACCCACGAATTTACTATTGTTATTGTGATATAGGACTTAGATCTTTGCCCATGTTTTCTCTTATTATTTCGCAAGACCTTTGCAGTCATTTACTCCGCAAACAAGCTGTAGATTTCCGGTGTAATCTTTTCTGATCAAAACATGTTTGCACGGTCCTTGTGTTATCTAATGCGGTGGTCTATAATGACTGTCGAATCTTCAGAGTTTGACAAAGAGATCGACTTCCAAAGTATTATAAATTCCAATTCTGTCCAGAAACGGTTTTACGATTTACCCCTGTAAGAGCTATAATCGAATGAAATACGATGATTCTGCTGTGATATGAACGTCATCGACTTAGTCTTGGTTATCAGTGCAATTGATAACCAAGGCGATAATCCGCGCTTGGTGATAATCCGTGAAAACTTGACAGGCGAAGATGGGCGTGACTGTATTTTAGGGTGAGAAATTTGAGAAGATTCCCGGGGTATATAAAGGGCATCAACTTGCAGCTACAGTGAAGGCAGGGACGTTTATCTACCATCATCCACAAGGAGCTGTATATACAATTTTTACAGCAATTTTCTTGACATTCTAAAGGTGTGACTGTTAAGATTTTATCAAAATACTTTGCCATCTGTTTCTAACATACGAATGTACTCTTCAGAGACCGGGTCAATCCTATTTCCGGGTCCTAATGACCAATAATTGGGTGATTCGTATGACATCAGATTTGCCTCTGATGAAGTCGAACCCATTACCACCATTTCCCAGCCCATTTCCTTGTTTTGACTCTTGGCAATTTCTCAACTGATCCGAGAAAGGCACTACCTCTTTTCGTATGGCCTTCGGGTAATTTGTCAAAATCTTAATTTAGGTGGTGGGGGTTTTTAAAATTTATTAAATTTTTCGCCGAAACATTTCAAGATTTGTGTTTTGGGAGCGAGTCTGTAGTCATTTGCCCTGAGGGGATAAGTCAAAAATTTTATCTTCATCGTAAGCGCAGTGAAATACGTGCGATTCTGGGGTTGTATAATTTAGTGTGAGCCGAACTTTGACCTGTAATAATTACCCATCCGCCAAGGCTATATATACCCGATCCCTCTCAGATATCTTATATATACTAATCTGGATTATGTCCTCGATGTTGTGGGGGGCACGTAACTGGTGGTCGTTTAAACCCGTCATGCGTTCCACAGTGATATTTACACTTTTTTGGGGAGATTCGGGATTAATCCGCGGACTCCGCGTTGGTTGTGGATATGCGTTGGAAGGAAATCGCAAAGGCTAGGGGGTGGAGTTACACATTAAGCTTCCATAAAATACGATATCAAGGATATTTAAGAGGGTTCTAATCTCGGATAGAAGCTGAGGATTGAGGATTGCGGACATTACAGTATACGTATCAGTCGCTGTGGATTGAATGTCATCGTATTTCATAGAAAGATCTTGATGTTAAAAATCAAAGCGGCACTATTTTCTTGAACCTTTATGGAGCTGTCAACCTTCCACATTCTTTTTATTTTTACTCCGCGAACACTTTGTACATAAATAAATATTTTCGGCTTTACGGAATTTTTGTTACAGTACCCCTCCCGCACCCTCAACATGCTTGGGTTGATCATTGTTGCCGGGCTATGCAGTCAGCTGGCCTTCGCCTTCCTGACTCCACAACAAAACGCAAAGCTCTCGGAGCTGTGCTCGGCCAACCCCAACCTTTTCGTCTGCACATTGGCCGAGTATTTGGATGAGAGTATGATCGATATTGACAGTTTAATACCAGCTGAACAGAGAGGTAAATTTGAAAAGTGTGGCTACTGACGTTGAATTTAATTTCCAGATTCCCTTCAAAACCCGGCCAAGAACTTTATTGGAAGCCGAATGCAGAAGAGGAAATCTGCCTTTGTCCGGTTCGGGAAACGATCGCAGGGCAATTCGGAGTATGCACCGGTAAGGAATCAAAGTTATTTTGTACCGTAGGACCTTGCTAGACGAATACGATGACTTGACGAAAAGTTTGGCCTATAATTTTGAAAATTTTTTCAATGGGTTACGTAAACGACGACTTAAAAATGTCAGGGCATTTCCTTGACATATCACCAAACCACATAAATTTTCCGTAAAATTTCTCATCCGGATGTCATGTGTAATATGCGTGGGAGATTCCCCGCGACCAAGTAAACATCCAGAAATACTAATCTCTTCGCTTGCAGGAAGACCTTGCACTGAACTTCCCCATCGACGGAATCCTCAACTCCCGGCCAGCCCGCAAAAGTTCCTACATCCGATTCGGATAAGCCCCCGATTCCCCCCGACACCACTCAAGTACCGTTCCAAAGGCGCTGAACTCGAATTTTACATGTTGTTGATGCTATTGAAGACCTGTAATATTACCCATGTAGGTGCATAGATCTCATCAATTTTCTGTCTGCTTTAAAAACAATTTGAAAAAAGAGACTTTTGTTTGTAAATTGAAATTTAAAATTGTGACCATTTATTGTGTTAATAAAATATTGTAGTAACCACTACATGTACTGACGTGGGATTGATCTATGCGAATTGCTAGAGATTAAACTTGGATTCTTCAAGACAACCGACAAGATTTGTCATCAGGTTTTTGGTCAGGGGGCTTAGGGAATTCGTGGAGTTAAGTCGATTTCGTCAAAGATTTTCGAACTTCCTGGCCATCGTCAAGCCCAGCCGTCTGTTAGAAAGTGTATACAGTATGTTCTCGAACATAGAAAATTAGAACTTTTCTATAGAATGCATCTACAAAATAAGCGTTTTTATCACAGCACTCGCAAGGACATGGAAAATAATTTTTGAAGGATTGGTACGTTGGCTGTGTCCTATAATCACGCTAAACTTAAAACAGGACAGAATATAACAGAAGACATAGCAAGTTAAATTAATGATGAAGCAATCATAGATCCTCTTCTTAATTTTATCGCCATTACTTTGATCACTTCCCCGCTAACAATAAACTATCGACGCTTACTCTTCAATCATCCAAGATTAATGACCCCAACGATGAATTTGATTGTAGCCGATGGGAAGCTGATCCCTTCAACATTACGAATCCATCCGCAACATAGTCCGTTGGGATGTTTTATTTGCCTTTGGCCCAACAGTTTGTTTCAAAGAACGAAGGGAAATTGATCCCGCGCGACGATGACACTTGTACGTACAGGTAAAAGGTTAAGAACTTTGTCCCAATCCCTAAAATAAACAGTTCCAACAGAGAAATTAGTATGACGGAAGCGGTTGCCGTCAATCGCGCGGAAATGGGAAGCGGGACGCGTTATTTTGTGCCCATCGAACAGAATGAACGGCCGAGAAGGACGGTGGGAGAATGGTTCCGGAAGTACTTTTTGGAAGGTATGTAATACTTTGCAACAAATGTAGTATTATCAAAGACAGGCTCTATCTACATATAGGACGTTTTGAACCATTTCCAGGTCAAAAACTCGAACGTCAGACACAAGCCCACATCAACCCGAAAGATCTACCGTTCCACGAGCGATACCGCAAATATCTGGCAACTCTGATCCCGTTCGTTATAATGCACGCCATATGGTGGTCAATGGCAATACGATACAACCTATTTCGACTGTATCCTACTAGATACGAACTTGCAATCACCATGATTTTGGGGGCTTTTGTTGCTGGCGCCACTTCAGAAGGTGGCGGCGCAATCGCTTTTCCTGTGATGACTTTGATGCTTCACATTGCTCCTGATGTGGCCAGAGACTTCTCTCTCATCATCCAAGTGGCTGGTAAATTTGGATTTTACTAACTTTGTTTCGAGTTTTAGGAATGGCCACGTCTTCTTTTGCAATATTATGGATGGGAGTTAAAGTGGAATGGCATTCAATTATTTATTCGTCCATTGGCGCTGGCGTTAGTATTATTCTTGGCTTACAATTTTGGGACAACCTTCTTGACCGTGAGTCCCAAAGCGAAAACTTTTCTTTTGATACAGTATGCCAAAATTTAATAAAACTGTATTTTTAAAGACCATGTTTTTTTCAGCTCAACAGAAGAAGATGATGTTCGTGTCGATCTGGTTTTCATTCGCGATTTCACTGTTAATACTGAATTTGCAGAAGAAACGAGTTACCTTCGATAATATCCCAAATTTCAAGCCATGGAAGGCGATAGCGCTGGTCGCAGCTGGGTTCTTTGGCGGTAAGTGGGTTTTTGTTTATTTTCTGCTATTTTAGGTTAACATAGATAAAATGCAATTGAAAAAAGAACTGATTCAGCTTGCGTTAACAAGGTTTTAGCAAGCAGAATATAAATTAATGCCAGCCAGTTATGGATTTTGTCGGTTACAGGCATTCTCAGTGCTTTTACTGGCTCCGGCGTCGATATCTGTTCGTTTTCCATCTTGACGTTGCTGTTTCGAGTGAGTGAGAAGGTTGCCACTCCAACATCAGTAATATTGATGTTCCTCAACGCATTGATTGGCTCTTATTGGCGCGTTCTTATGCAACAAGGAGTCAGTCAGCTGGCCTATGAGTACTTCGCGGTCTCTGTGCCTGTTGTGGTCACTTGCTCACCGATCGGAGCATTTGTCTCGTCGCATTTACATCGTCAAGTCTTGGCTTGTTTTGTGTACATTTTAGAGACCCTGGCGGTTCTCGGATTTTTGATTACTGGCCCTAAATGGACATTGATTGTGGCTGGAGCGGTCATTATCATCGTCGGGTGAGGAACTATTTTGTAGATGACGAATGTTTAGGTTTACATTCTTCTACATTATCGCTAAATTGGGGCAAAAACTGAGTGGAGTGGAGAGCGAACGACAGTCCAATGAGTCGCTAGCTGTAAACAACATGACTTTCTTGGACAGACGGAGCAGCACCAATTCTAGTGGCGTAGTTGTGTAATCTTCCACTATTACAGGTGGAACTACAGTAGAGAACGAGTAGACAATCTATCAGGAAAATATTTGTAGAAATTCGTTGTATAAACTAACAAGAAAACGGAATACAAATTTATTGGCTTGCTAAAAGTTTCTAACAATAAGCGGCAAAATAATAATTTTTGTTGTGGGTTTAGTTATAATCCGCATTGATTACGTTGATGATCTTGTTGTAGACCAATTCAGTAGAGTTCAAACCCCAGATGAAGTCCATGTGGGCGTATCCAGGGTATCTGTTGTCTTCCTTCAGGATTCCTGGCTTCAAATGGGGGAGGATATCGTGCTCAAGGTTGGCAAGAGTGGTCAAGTAATCATTGGGGCAGCTGTACAAGTAGAGAGGGACGTCCATTTTGGTCAAGTTGTAGTAAGGAGGGTCAACTGATCCGTAGCGAGCGATGTTCTCAGCGGCAGTGGGGAATCTGTACCATTGGAATCCGCCGGACACTGGGTCAGTGGAAGCACAGTATTTCTGGACTGTGGCGACGTTGACACCAGCGGGGATATGGTTCAAGAAGATGGGCATACGGGTGACGTTGATCGTGGTGCTTGGACCTGTGAACCAGTAGTAAACCTTGGAACAATATTCTCTTTGGATTGGAGGAACGGAACAAGTTAGAAGGCTCAGAAGATCAACATTCTGCTGGCTGAGGAAACCAAGGCCGAATTCACTCCAAGCGAAGTCCGACCAGGCCTTGGGGAAAGCAAGTTCCGTCTCGCAGATGGTCTTAAATGGACCTTTAAGGTCTCTGAATTGAACAGCAGGTCCCAGTGCAAAGAATTTCTTCACTCGGCTAGCGAAGGAAGGATCGTCGGCGAGCTTGGCAAACATGAGGTAGGTACCTTGACTGTGGCCAATGTAGTAGAAAGAGGACTGGCCGGTGACATTTTCAATTACGTCGAAGACGGCTGGGATATCGTACAGCTGCATTTCATCGCTTCTGAAATGGTAATTAAAGCTATTGCGGCTTGTTATTCGCTTACGTCCATTTCCAGAACTCGGGCTGGGCACGAGTGTAGTTTTTGTGGCTGGAATAAGTGTTTCCTCGGGAGTTGGGGAGCCAGACATCATATCCAGCATCGGCGAAGACGAATCCTGGAGTTTGATGAGGCAGGTTCAAAAGAAAGTTGTCACTGGCGCATTCAATGCCGTGTTGAAGGATGACAACTGGTTTACCAGAGATGTCGCTGTTTGGGTCCTCGTTCTTGGCGCGTGGAATGCGCTGCATTGGAAGAAGCCAGTCATCGACAGTCTCAACAATATACTCTTCTCCTTGGTAGCCCCAGTACTCGATCAATCCCAACTAAATTCGTAAAACAAGGCTGATGACAACTTACGGCATCCAGATCTTGTTCTGGAAGATGCAAGTCCGAGATAAGATCGGCAGAAGCCACAGCGGTGACAACAAGGAGAGAGAACAACATCTGCATACTCATTGCTTGACAGAAGAAGCAACTGAGATATGATGCTGAATACATCCATTGTCGCGATTTATATATGTGTGAAATATGGTAATATTTGTCACGGGGAGTATTTAATCAGATGCAGAGCTGACAAAAAACGCAACATCGATCCGTTGAGTTGACGGTCTAGCCATAAGCCGCGTTTGATTCGCTGAGGAAGGGATGAGAATAGCAGTGCAGTCATGAATAAAGCCTTCGCAGGATTTGCGTGTAATTATGCATTGTGTTACGGTTTTTTCTTGTCAGAGGTGGATTTTGTTTTAGATCAAATGAAATGCCTGGTATGTCATCAACAAACTGAACTTTAATTAACAGGTTCTTGTGAATTATGTTGGTCCTGTTGTTTTGGATCAATTGTAAATGCATACGCTTATTGCCGAGGAATACAGCTTTCGACGTACATGAACACTATAAGCCGCGTGTTTCCTGCTCACTTCGACTCTGCGCCCACTTTGTATCGATTGAAACCGAACAAAATGTCAAAAAAGAATTTTTTGTGGGGGTTTCCGATCGAAAAATATATTTTTCGGGTATTATTATTTTATTTCTTTTGTCAATTGTGGCACTTCGTTTGAACGAAACTCCAAAGTGGTCGGGAAATGTTTTTATTCGATCTCGGGTGCCGTGTTGTACATTTTTAGTGGCGGCGGAAGGTCTAACTTTTTCTGTTAGGTTTTGTTCTTTATTGATTTTTTGTCATTAATCAGCAGCTTTTTTAATGTAATGATTCACGCTTCTTTCTTGCCTCACTGTCTTATCACTTTTCGTAAAAGGCGCCCATCCAGGGATTTGAAATTCATTCAGGTCTTGGGCACTCGATTTTTGTTGCACCGAAATTGAAAATTAGAAAAACAGGTTTTATTTGCACTAGACTAGTCTATACAAGCAGTTCAACAATAATTTTTGTTGTGGGTTTAGTTATAATCCGCATTGATTACGTTGATGATCTTGTTGTAGACCAATTCAGTAGAGTTCAAGCCCCAGATGAAGTCCATGTGGGCGTATCCAGGGTATCTGTTGTCCTCCTTCAGGATTCCTGGCTTCAAGTGGGGGAGAATATCGTGCTCAAGGTTGGCAAGAGTGGTCAAGTAATCGTTGGGGCAACTGTACAAGTAGAGGGGGACGTCCATTTTGGTCAAGTTGTAGTAAGGAGGGTCAACTGATCCATAGCGAGCGATGTTCTCAGCGGCAGTGGGGAATCTGTACCATTGGAATCCGCCGGACACTGGGTCAGTGGAAGCACAGTATTTCTGGACTGTGGCGACGTTGACACCGGCGGGGATATGGTTGAGGAAGATGGGCATACGGGTGACGTTGATCGTGGTGCTTGGACCTGTGAACCAGTAGTAAACCTTGGAACAATATTCTCTTTGGATTGGAGGAACGGAACAAGTTAGAAGGCTCAGAAGATCAACATTCTGCTGGCTGAGGAAACCAAGGCCGAATTCACTCCAAGCGAAGTCCGACCAGGCCTTGGGGAAAGCAAGTTCCGTCTCGCAGATGGTCTTAAATGGGCCTTTAAGGTCTCTGAATTGAACAGCAGGTCCCAGTGCAAAGAATTTCTTCACTCGGCTGGCGAAGGAAGGATCGTCGGAGAGCTTGGCAAACATGAGGTAGGTACCTTGACTGTGGCCAATGTAGTAGAAAGAGGACTGGCCGGTGACATTTTCAATTACGTCGAAAACGGCTGGGATATCGTACAGCTGCATTTCATCACTTCTGCAATGATAATTAGAGCTATTACTGCTGGTTATTCGCTTACGTCCATTTCCAGAACTCGGGCTGGGCACGAGTGTAGTTTTTGTGGCTGGAATAAGTGTTTCCTCGGGAGTTGGGGAGCCAGACATCATATCCGGCATCGGCGAAGACGAATCCTGGCGTTTGATGTGGCAGGTTCAAAAGAAAGTTGTCACTGGCGCATTCAATGCCATGTTGAAGGATGACAACGGGTTTACCAGAGATGTCGCTGTTTGGGTCCTCGTTCTTGGCGCGTGGAATGCGCTGCATTGGAAGAAGCCAGTCATCGACAGTCTCAACAATATACTCTTCTCCTTGGTAGCCCCAGTACTTGATCAGTCCCAACTAAATTTATAAAACAAGGCTGATGAAAACTTACGGCATCCAGATCTTGTTCTGGAAGATGCAAGTCCGAGATAAGATCGGCTGAAGCCACAACGGTGACAACAAGGAGAGAGAACAACATCTGCATACTCATTGCTTGACAGAAGAAGCAACTGAGCTATGTTGATAATTCCGGCCATCGGTTTGGTTTATATACTCTCTCATGGCCAGCAGAATCCTCGAATAGAAGAATATTCATCATGTGGTATCAAATTAAAAAAAATTTTAATCCGATAAAGAGGCAACATCGAGGTGTTCAGCTCCGTGGTCTAGCCTGCGGTGTCGTTATTGGCTTTATTTGCATAGCCCCGAAAAGGACACTCGCGAGGGAACGCAACATCACGGAGGATGCAGCGGGGATCACCATAACTTGGGCACCGTTTTAGGCTTTGTTACGCGAATATGTTCATGGGAATCGGGAAGAGGTGATTTTTTGCGTTATGCTAATTTTAGATGGCGATGTGTCGGTAACCAAACCGGGAATGGTTTTTAGATAAGTTTTGTTGGCTTCCTCTGGTAGATAACTAGAAGGCTCTTCATTGCCGTTTAAGCTACGATATTACACCTTTGTAAGCGAGATCTGGTGGCTGTGGCTACTTTATTCTTAAAGATTCTAATTGTAATCAGCATTAATAACCTTTATGATCTTTTCGAAGACCATCTCGGTTGCGTTTAGACCCCATAATAAGTCCATATGAGAGAACCCATGGTATCGGTTATCCTCTTTGAGGATTCCTTTCTTGAGATTCGGAATGATCGCTTCGTCAAGCTGTTGTTCAGTTGTTAAGATGTCATTGGGACAGCTGTACAGGTAAAGAGGTACATCCATCTTTGTCAAATTGTAATAAGGGGCATCTTCCTGAAAGGAATAGTCATTATCTTATTTCTTTCAAGTTCCTTTGTTAATTTACCTGTCCATATTTCTCCAAATTCTCTTCTCTTGTCGGGAATTTATAGAATTTGAATCCGCCGGTTACCGGATCTATAGTTTGACAATACTTCTGAATAGTTGCCGTGGAAATCCCCGTTGGAATATGATTCGTATACACTGCGATTCGACTCTCATTTAGCGTCGAGCTTGATCCAGAAAACCAATAAAAAATATTTGAACAATAACTTTTCTGTGCAGATGTCGCGCAAGTCCAACGAGTCAGAAATTTGACAATGTGCTGACCCAAAAGACCTAATCCAAATTCGGTATAAGCTGTCCAATCCCAAAACCGCGATAAAATTGGAGCCTCTGATGAGTCGCAGACAAACTTAAATGGTCCTTGGATATTTTGAAAGCGAACTCCAGGCCCTAAGGCAAAGAATTTCTTCACGCGGTGGGAGAAGGAGGGATCATCAGAGAGCTTGGTAAACATGATGTAGGTACCCTGGCTATGGCCAACATAGTAAAATTGAGATTGGCCAGTGATATTTGCAATCAGATCAAATAAAGCCGGCAGATCGTATCTTTGCATGTCGTCGCTTCTGTAATCAGACTTAATCAGTAGCCTTTGCCGTACGTATAATGCCAGAACTCCGAGTTGTGCCGACTGTAATTTGCATGACTGGTGTAAATATTGCCTCTTGAATTTGCCATCCAAACATCGAAGCCCGCGTCGGCAAAGACGAACCCAGGACTTTGATGTGGAAGATTGAGAATCCAGTTATCACTGGAACATTCAATGCCATGTTGAAGGATGATTACTGGTCTCTTTGGCTTGTCGTTGACTTCGTTTTTACCTCGTGGGATCCGATGGATTTTGAGGGACCATCCATCTTTCGTTTTGGCGATATGCTCTTCGCCTTGGTAGCCCCAATGCTTGATGATACCCATCTGAAATGTGAAAAGTTTTCGTAATTATTTTATTTAAAAAGTTTAATGCATCTTACCGTGTCCAAATCTTCTTCCACATCGTAGATTCTATAGTAGTCTACATAAAAAATAAAAGAAACAATAATTGGCAAGACAATTACAGTTAGATAAAAGAATATCGACTTGGTTGGTGTCGCTTTACCCACGGATTGATAAGGAATTTTTCTGTTGTCATTCGATGTCATCCTTCAAAAAATTTCACTCAAAAACTAGACACATAAATCTTCGAAATTAAAAAAAGTGTTTTTTGACCTTCAACTGTAAGATCAATCCCATTTCTGCCTGCACCGTAGCCCTTTTAAGCATTTCCCTGTGATTTGATTACCCTTCCCGTACAATCATCTTAATGTATTATTTTTGTCCCCATAACAATCGACAAAATGAGTTTTTGGTATTGTACTTTTGAGTGTAGAGATAGTAAGCTTTTCCCTCATTTTTTTCTCATTACAATCCAGAGTTTGTGATTTTGTCGCATAAAATTTGATGGGTTTTGCGATGGCTTACGTTGTAACTCATGATTTGTCAACCGTTCGATCAAAGAGTGTAAAAAGTTTGCACTTTTGAGGGAAAGTTCTGCATTAATATGCAAATCTCCAGATTAATCGCAACATTTTCAGAAAGGAATTTCCAGGAAAGCAGAATGGCGGAGTTGAAGGTTGGAAAGTACATTTTGTATATGATACACGTCAATTACACCTAAAGTTTATTCTGAAAATTAATTTTTCAAATAATGAAGTTTGTGTTTGGGGCTTTTGTTTTAATGAAACTACGATACATTGATCATGTTATGTAATTTTAGATTTTGATGACTCTTTTTTAACTGGATACAAGTCACTCTCTGAAAGTCTTAGATGACATTTTGAGCAAAGACCGACGTATCCAACGAACTGCAAGACGAAAAGATATTGACGATTTCCATAAAACGCGGTCTAAGAATCTAGTGTACACTTTCGAGACAGTCAGTTAGCTTAAATGTGTGACAAGTTTCACCTCAATCAACGCTATATAAATATTTCAAGGCGCTATACTTTCAATTCGCAACATCAGAAAATATAATATTCCCATCCAGCTATTTAAACATGCAAATACCAAAGGGCAGCCGCTTAAAAGAGTAGGCACCATTCCGAAAACGTTCGCTTTCATTGAATTCAAATCCCTAAGGTCAGTTCGGATCAACGGAGAAAACTTTAAACGCACTGAACACGGTGGTGAAAGGAAAACGTTAACAAGAGATCACACCAACGTAAACTTTACGTTAATCAATACTGTAGATGCCAGCCAGTTTACCTCAAATTTTATTGCTAAACCTTTTATTACTTTTTAAACCGTAATAGATACGGGTTTTTTTGATGACTTATCAAGCTGATAATTATAACTCCACACAACATGGGATTTATTTATATCGAAAAAAATAAATTATTAATAAGTAATAGTAAGCGTCATAGTAAAATAAATTAACAAACACATTTCTCGGCCTTTCTCGTCTTCTTATTTACGGATCGTAGAGCTCGAGAAGGCACAATTACAGTCGAGTTTTTGGCCGCAGTATCATCGGCCAATGGCTCAGGGAACTTGAACTTTCCCTCGGCGCAGCGGCGAGAAAGTTTTGCGATTTTTCGGCGCTCCAGAGGCTCTGAACGCTTGCGACGGCCGCCACAACAACAAGGACCTGAAGTGAATGCAGAAAGGTCAGTAAAATACGAGGTGAATTGGTAAGGATTTGGATATGTGCGAAGATAGGAAGAGAGATTTAACGAAATTGACAGTAAAAAATGGTGAAAAAAATATGATAAAAGAGCGGTTTTAAAAGCAATGAATCAGAAAGAAACCAGAATAAATTGAACAACATTGACATAGAGAACGCAGATATTGCTTTACTTTAAGCACTGGGGAACCGTAATTTACATGTTTTGAGCCTTAAATCCACAATAAGAGTGCAAAGAAAATGCCTTCTATAAATTCCTCCTCAATTTTTCCAATTAGATTTCGTAGTATCTTCCTCCTTCCCTCCCTCGAAAGTGGTCGTATTTTCACTGTCATTTGTCGTACTCTCATTCTCAGCTAACAGCGCTAGTAATGGCTCTATTGTACTCGTCATATCTTCATCTTCTTTATCTGTACTAGCAGTACTTATGATAGTTCCAATCTCCATCGTCGCCGTGGTCTCCTCTACATGCTCTTCCGGTATTTCCTTTGCTTCAGGGAGCTTCTTAATTTTCTTCTTTCTTCCAACTCCATGGTGCGGTCCAAACATTGTCATCAACGCGCGATGCAACGTCTTTAACATTTTAGGTTTCTCTTTTTCGTCTGTATTAGAGATCTCTTCAATTTCTGCCTCTTCATCACATCGGCTGTTACAACATGAACCACAGTTGCAGCAGTTGCAATTACAGCAACAATCTCTGTTGCATTGACAAGTGTAAGGGCATTCTCCATCGTATGACATCTTACACGGTTCCTGAGGGGAGCAGCATTTGGTTGATTGAGAACAGCCATAGCCGCAATTGCAGAGGCTGAGGGAGGGTTGGATTAGAATGTTCACGTTGCTGTTTGCTGTGACTCGTCCACAGTTCGAAGGAGTGTTGAATGGAGCTATTCAGACATTAAAAGGTAGCAAGACTGACAGGAGGAGGGGTAAAATGAAGTGCAATCTTAAAGGCGGTGGCTGCGAAAGCAATTTGAACTGGAGGAACTTTTACATCATGACTGCAAGAGTAGCTGAAACATGTGAAAAGTCTTCATCTAGGTTTTTAAAGCTACGTTTTTCTATACAGAAAATGTAGACATTTCCATTCACGTTTGGCCATCAACCTATCCCCCTATATACGCAGACAGCATTATAGAAAAGACTCAAACTTAAAGCAACTCACAGCAACAACACGGCTTACAACAACAGCAAGGCTTACAGCAACAGCACGGCTTGCAGCAGCAGCATCCTCCACACGGGACATGGCAGACGTTATGCAGCGCCGGAGGAGGCTGGATTATGATCGGCGGCTGGGGACAGCAATACTGACAGCATCTGCAACAACCTCCACAGCAACAACAACCCGCTTCAACGTCCAGGATCACGTAGCCAAGCAGCACAATGAAAACGGAGGTTGCAAAAAGCTTCAATCCCATGGTGTGCTAAAATCGTTGGTCGTGTAAATTGAAATTTGTGGTAAAATACGAGATTGAAAAATTAAGATACGGTAAAACCTCTACAACAAATTAAAACGATATTTTTTTCACACGAGGCTTGGAAGTCTACGCTGACCCTCGTATCTTTGTAGGCGTTTGTGTGAGCTATTTATCCTAAATTTATAAACGTTGTAAGGGTCTAATGAGTGTTACAAAGTTGTAAGGGTCTAAAGTCGTTTTTTGAGGCCGTGGATCAGAACGTAGCCCAATAAATTTTGACGCAGTACGCATATTTCTATTGTAAACATCTTCGCAACAAACGTTGTTGACAAGGATCAAATTAGAAGGCCTCTCTCTGGTAACGCGTAGAAGGTGAAATAGACTTCAATGCAGCAAAACTCGTCTAAAACAGGCGTAGAATTTCTAGCAATTTAGGGACCTGCTAACAGCAGTGCTCAAAAAAAGTCGTACATGGCCAATACCTATTTCTTCTTCTTCTGTTTACTTCCCACAAAATCCCCAAACTATGGCGTACTGTAGCAAAACTAGAGCAGACCCGCACAGTGCGTCGAATGGAAAGTAGGCCAGATATATTGTAATTGGGTTCCCGAAGATGGGCTGGCCACTGAGTCATTGTTGCTCGCCGCGCGTCTCGGATGAGAATTATGTTTACATTGAAGCGGAAGTGGATCGGGCTTCATCTCTTTTCCTTTCTACGGACATCTGGATCACCCACAAACCGCGTGAAAAAAAGTGTAGGGAGTATTTTTAGAACACAGGCAGAAAATTTTCAACACGTTAGAATCAACAAGGTCCAAAAGGATTAAGAAAATAAATTGGAAGATAGCACGAACTTGGCTTTGGCTTATAAATAAAAGGGTAAAATACGAGCTTCCATCTTGCCGGCAATACTTACAAGGGAATCGGGAATCCTTAATGTAGGGAAGTTAAGACTGAATGCAAATTATCACAAGATTAAAAAAGATTTTTTCTAATCGTAAGAAAGATGTTGAGAAAGCTCCGCGATTTTTTAATTGCAAATGAATTTTTTCTGATACCTTTTTTTTCTTTTCTAGATTTGTAAATTTCTAAACTGATTACCAGCGTGGTGTAAAATGTATCTACAAAAACCCAAAATTTTCCACGCGTTGACAAAAAAGTTATGGGCGAAAACTGTTTCTCGTACGGCCGACTCTCCTCATTTCGCATGCTCTCTCGAAAATATACCCGCTTACGAAAAATGGGAGCTAAACCTTTAGGTGACAATTTGTGTCAACTTTAGAATTTATGTATTTACAATATTCATCTTTTTTATTTATAAAGTTTAATTAGTGTTATCATCAACTTGTAGATCAACTCATTAGCTCTCTTCTTCCCCATTCTTCGTGCACTTTCTCCTTGTAACAAATCACCGTGAACGCCGCACATTTTTATGTAGCAATTATTCATCGTCGAGTTGGCGCTTTTACAACCTTCAACTCGACTTGTTCGAGTGCGAATTGAAGGGGGGGATAACGTCGAAGCCTCGAGGCACTTTTAATTTTCTTTTGTTTTTTTTATCCGAAGTTGATTTGAGAGAATGCACTGGGAGAGTCGTCGGAATGAAACAACATTAGAAACAGATTAGGGAACATGTTCGTTTTTGTTTTTTATCCACCTTCTTCTTTATATCAATTTGGTTTTTGTGAGCGCTTTTTTGGGGGAGATTACGTGGGATTTTTTGGGAGTAATGGGAGCGAGGGAGTACTGTAAGTTCCTTTTGGAGATGAAATGCATCTAATTAATTTGCCTAGGGCCTATCATTTGTTCTAAAAAAGTGCCGAAAAGTTTATTTCAATTTTTCAAATTTTGCCTCTAATTTTTGGAGATTATAAAGGCCTAAAATTCCCATTTGATAAGGTGCATAGTATCTCAGATAAACAGTATTTTTGCTTACCCTAACTTTAACTAAAAAAAACATTTTTTTCATTGTGTTGTCTCTTCATTTTTGGGACTCTCTCGCCTGAAAAATCCTTGAAAATCTCGGCTGCCCCTGAAAGGTTTGCGCTGAAATTTTCAGAAAATTGATTGACTGTTATGTTATTTATACTGTACGAATTTCGAAGAGAATCCACGCTTTGGTCCTCCTGAATTTCTATGTAAAATACGCTTTTCCCCCAAAAAAGTTTCCATTTTCTTTCTCTCGGTCTCACTTCGCCGTTCTTTACTCATTTCGAAAATCATCCTTTTGCAAAATGACGTCTTCTCCGTCAGTCTTCACACCGCTGACTCAACAACGAAACAAATGAAATGCCCGGAGGTATTATTCTTATTAGAGCGCAATAAAACACGACCAATAAAGTGGTCGTAAATGGATGTTCAACAGTTTAGAATCACTTTCAATTCTCTTTCTTTTCGTAACAAAACATGTTGAGAAACTGATTGCGTAACGCCCAAAGTAAAAGCGTAATTTCGCAATTTCTTTTTTAGGTAGTGAGGTTTTAGTCAGAGTTTAGTCAAGTGAGTGAAAGAGATGTCATCAAATTTCGAAATAATTGCATATTTGCAACGTGCAACTGTTTGTGGTTGCAATTATCACATAAGTTATCTAAAATGGGATTTTCATATAAGTTAGTGGTTCTTGTAAAACACGAAGACTTGATGTGTAACATACAAAAACATACAAAAAATTGCAGAGAGTCAGAATGATCCAAGATAACCCAGGCTGTGATCGAAACAGCACCCTTCGATAACCGGACGAATTCTCCTACCTTTTTGGATACTGGTTCTGGATGTCAGGCTTCATTCGTTATCATTTTTTGGCCTTGCAAAAAACATATTTTTTCCAACGCCCCACTTTTTCCACTTGGCCTAAAAACGAGTACATTGTTCCGGAATTTTGGGCCAACATCAAGTTCGGTGGTAACGTACCAGCCATGTGCCTCGCATTTTGGAAATGTCTCCTCTTTGAGGCCAAAAAACTTACATTTTCCCTGATCTTCAAAACTGTTACATTGAGGTGTTCCTCTTTTTTATGGTTCACTTTCTGATCTTCCTTTTTTGGAATGGCCTTTGAAAATCTTGGCTGCACTTGCAAGGCAATACCGAAACTTTTTCAACTTAACGAGTGAGCTGAATGCCGTTTTAAAAAGGAGTGCAAATAAGAATTTTATTTTTTTATATTTTTTCTACTTGCCGTACCTTCGGAATCATTCAGTCTATATGGATATATAGATCTATATCAATAAGACCTACAGTAATTTTTCTCTTCCAGTTTTTACTACAAGCCCCTCTTTCATCCCCTTATAAATCTTTTACAACCCCTCCGCTCGCACTCAAATCCAATACCATTCATATCCCTGTTTTAAATAATTTTTGTTTTGATTGGAAACATTTTTAGCGACATTTTTTATTCATTAAAGTGCGGCTTTGTTCCTTCCCTCCTTTCTTAATCAGAGGATTCGCAGGAATTGGAATCAGAGATATAATTAGATATTCATTTGATCTTTACGTGTTTTCGAAAAAGTAAAAAAGACATTCCCATTACGATTTCCTTATTGTCACTTTGGTCACAATTTATGCGCAGGTTTTGTTTTATGGGGCTTCTGTTTCTTTTGAGCGGGGATTTCTGGAGATGTTTTGGATAAAGGGAAAGGCTCTTGAGGGATGGGAAATTAGTATGGAGGAGATAAAGAGTGGGGTAGTTACAGTAATTTTTTTGATCTTTCTCTTATAGTAATTAGAAAGGAGCTAACTGTTTGTCATTGTAAAGATTTATTTGTCATGAAAGCTGTCTGTGGCATGAAGGCTTGGTTTGCAATCACTTAAGGTACCACAACCCTAAGCTTGATGTATTATAAATTGGCTCAGATTTAGCGTTTTTATGACATACCTTTCCAGTGTTTTAGCTGACGATTTACAGACGTTTTAACAGTCAAATATCATCAAGTATTTTTAAGGTTATAGTTAGCTCTTATAGCTCTTATTTTTTAGAAACTGCCGAGATTTTTCAATTAGAAGTTCATCATAAAATTTAAATAATTTTTTCCGTACAAGATTGCTGGGATATGGCCAAACACGGTCTCCTCTGTGGCTTGTTGCATAGCTGCGAACCGAAGCTAAAATTTTCAGAAATCGACATGGGCCTATGAGAAAGTTGTGAGCAAAATTCGAAGAAAATCTGAGCTTCGGACTACGAAGCCTAGTCAGTTTTTTTAAGCACACTCTATTTCTCAATCGTCTTTTTTGTATTTCCAAATTTTTTTATCAAAAATTAAATCGGCCCTCCTTATCCACCTATCTCCAGTGACTCATCGCCCCATAATATACATGTTGTCAATACAAGAAATTTCTCGCCTCGAGGCAGTTTGATTCAGAGCCGTTTCACAAAAGAAAAGATATTAAATTGGGAGACATTATGTTTTATATTTTCTGAATGGAAAAACAACTTGAGGAAAGAGGTCTTTCGCAGCGAATGACCATCTACTTCCAGCGCCCTTTTCATACTATTATTATTAAAAAGTACGCAAAAGTCTTTTGTAAAAAATTCGCGGATTTGTAATTATTGTAATCGCCGACTTCACGACTTTTTTTGTTGTAATGAATCAAGGATTTTTGTCGGTATTCGGAGTCGAATGCGGTGTGCGGATTTTTGACAGTTTAGCGGAGGTTTTAAGTGCCTTAATGGGGAGGGGGTGTTGGAAAGAGAGACTTGCGAAGTCTCACTTTGGCTAGGGGTTTCAGGGTTCAAGTTTGTTACCTTTGATGGGTGATTATTGAAATTTTATTGTCATAAATTTTGATGAAATTTGGGGCAAATGACTACAATTTTCTGAAACATCTAGATTTTAAACTCGAGCTTTGAAGAAACTGATATTTTTGGTCGAAATTTATCGAAAATCTTTTTATGCTTGCTCAGTTCAAAATTTTCGTAAAAAAAATCCGTCCGCTTATGAATGATATGAAATATTGGTCTTCAAAATCATAAGACTTCTCGTCCTGAAAGTTTCAAGAAGATGAAA